ACATGAGCTCATAGGAACCAATACACTGTGACACACTATGAAACAGAGGACCTGGGCATCATAAGAGACTAAGAGGAAAGACTTCGTGGGGAGAGGGGTTTGGGGCTTCTTGAGGGGAGTAACACTGACACTAAGCCCTGGAGATAAAGAAGGAAAGGAGGGAGGGAAGGAAGGAAGGAAGGAAAAAAAGAAAGAAGGACACTGCGTGTGGAGAGCAGTTGTGCAAAGGCCCTGAGGTTGGGGCTGAAAGTCTGGGCAGTGTGATGGAAGGTGGTAAAGAGAAAAGCGAGTAACCTTGCAAATGTGGAGGCAGATGGTCCACTAAGATGCTCCATTTTTCTGTCAAAGAAAAGCCTTAGAAGAATTTTAATCCATGCAGTGACACCTTTGGGCCTGCCCTCTTGAGGTCCAGGCACAGCCCCACAAAGAAGATACTGTGTGAGGTTAAAGGCAGAGCCTGGGTGTGTACAGGAAAGCAAGGAGGGCAAGGTTTGTCTCTTTACGCAACCCAAAATACTAACGCACCTTCCTCACCTCAAACGCCAAATCAATTATGAAATGTGGTGAAGGATCAATTTGCATGCAGCACAAGATTATCACTCATGATTAGACACAAAGCCACATCAGTCGCTGGAAACACCTGTTTGGGCTGCATGGCTCATCCCAGTGGTGGGGACTTCCCCAAAGGACCTTGGCTTCTTTTTGTGGCTTTTGAGTGACAGCCTGTGGCACTCGTTCCTCCTAGAATCTTCACCCCGTATCCCTCAGATTCTTGATATCCGATGCTGCCAGGGCTAGAACGAGTGGCAGTGTTTGGGGCAGCACGACTGATCTCCTGGCCCTCTTTCCTACCCATTCATGTGGCAGGGACTCACTGAGCACGGGGCGTGCTGTTGTGGGGTCTGGTCATCTCCATCAAATCAGGAAATTTTTCCCAAGATAAATAACGGAATTGGTCAAAGAATTAGTCAAAAAAATTGATGGAAAATAAATTTAGGGCACTCTGTTTCAAATCAGTTAAGCAACTGTTTAAATTACACACCTTCTGAGGACATTTGATTCACCAAGGTGCATTGTAAATCTCCTTGACCGAGTGATACTCATTCATCCTTTATTCCAGGAGTACCCTGCAGACTAGTATGGAGAAGGGAAGGCCATCTACATCATTAAGTGGCAGATGGAAGGACGTAGCAGATGGTCAGAGAGGTTCAGGCCTTCTCTTCCAGGAATTAGGTCTTTAAGATGGACAGCCTTGAAACTCCTGTTCCCAACATCAGGACACAGCTGAGGGCCAAACAGAGCAGTGATCAAGGTTTTGCAGATCTGCCAGGTTCCCTGTGCCTTGCACTTCCTCAGGACTGCTGGGGTAGAGGCTCCCTGACTCGATTCACACAGAGGCAGCAAGTATGTTTATGTGGGTGGTGTTTTGACTGCTTATAGGAATAAAAGGATTTAGCCTTTCTCTCTCTCTCTCTCTCTCTCTCTCTCTCTCTCTCTCTCTCTCTCTCTTCAATTACTAAAGAAGTATATTGTTTGTGGGAGGAAAAAAAATCAATACCAGGAGCATAGGATCAAAAGTGGGCATTTCCTTCATTGAGGCCCCTGTAGCAGCTCCTCTAACCTGAAGGGTCCAGGAAGTTGGAAGCAGGTCTGGGGTCCAAGGGACCAGGTTCCAATCCCAGCTCAGCTGCACACTGGCTTTGCATCCTTGTGTACAGGCCTTGTATAAAGGTGGGCAAGAACTGAATAAGATGGGCACAGAAAGCCTTCAACTCAACATTTGCACCAAATAGCATTCCATTAAATTTGAGTTGAAATTTTCTTCTAGGATCCAGGCACTTTTTTTAGAAGACGTGTTCTTGCTATGTACCCAGTCTAGCCTCAAGCTTGTCATCCTCCTACAGCCTCCTGAATGGCTGTAGGAGGTATTATAGGTACACACCACAATACCTAGCCCTGGTACTTAAAAGATAAGCTGTATTGTATGCAATGACTGTACTCAGGATACAGTGGGGCCCATTTGTGGGAATTGTTTTAAGTCCTCCAAGGCAGTTTTTATAAGTAGAAACTACTAATTATAGGTTACTTTATTTTTTTAAATTAATATTCAGATTATCAAAGTTAAAATTTAAAAACTCATGAGCTGACTCTATCCTACAGATTAGCTTGTATTTGGTACTAGGAATTAAGTCTTTACCAGCACTCTTACAAATTGCCACATATCTTAAGTTCCGCTTACAAAAGTTCTTATTAAATACAGATCAGCCAGTTAAATTTAAATTATCTAAAATTCACATCTGTCTACTAGTCTGTATTTTGATTTGGTAAATCTGGCAACACTGAATCCAACAACAATTTAAATAATTCACTTCAAGTTTTTAGCCTATTTAAAAATATTTTAAACTTTTTTCACAAATTTGTTTATTTATTTATTTTGGCACCAGGATTGAACTCACTGCCTCATGCTTGCCAGGCAAGTGTCTGAGCCACTGAGCTAAATCCCCAGCCCTTTTTTCACAAATTTAATACCTTACTTCCTTTTTAAAGTTCTTTACTAATCTTAAAAACAGTAAGTTACCTTTTTGTTTTATTAAGTCTTTTAAAGCTAACAAATTAATCTTACAAAACACTGCTAACCAAAGCCCTTAAAAATGTTTCAGAACTATATTTTTTCCAGGCATGGTGGCACACATGTAATCTCAGCATTCAGGAAGCTGAGGCAGGAGAACTGCTGTGAGTTTGAGGCAAACCTAGGCTACAAAGTGAGTTCAAGTCCAACCTGAACTACTTAAAGAGACCCTGTCTCAAAAACAAACAAGCAAACACAAAACTATATGTCCATAAATCCATTGACCCACCTAATGGTGTATTTTATCTGGCATCAAAAGCTTGTCCATCTAACAGGTCAAAAATCTCTTAGGTGATACAAAGTTGTCAGATACCATTACATGCGTAGGTCCCATCTTTAAATACAAAAAAAAAATCTGCACCATGGTTGAACTTCTTAAACATTTCTACACTTAGTTTTATATCTTCCTCAGTTTGGAAGGTGCAACAACAAGAGAAACATTTAAGCATTTCATTAACAAGAGATACTTTTTACTAGAAATTACACCAGGTCTAAGTCTGATGTTATCAGTGTGAGGGACATTCATCTTCCCGTGAGCTCAGGAAGCCACTATTTTTCCCCATGCACTATTTGGGGTTATCTCTTGGTATTCCGGACACGAATGCCTAGGATGCTGATGAATATCCATTGGTGAGGTGCGGACGCTTGTCCTCAGGGATATAGATGTGGCTCATCTCTATGGAGGGAGCAGTCCCAAGATCTCAAGACTCACTGCAAGTTGTTCCTATTCTCAACTTTCCCAACGTCTGCAAGTCACCAGAATAAATTTTGTACCTTTTTGCTTTTTAGATCTTGATGTCTTCCTGTCCAGATCTCTTAAAAAATCACTTTGCTTGAGCTGAAATCCTAAACTTCTTACAAAAATTTCCCTTCTCAGAGCTCTCATAAACATTAAAATGTCAGTCAAAACAGGGGTTGGTTCTGCCTATTCATTGACATCTAGGAACTGCCTTAGTGGGACTATGGTGAGACAGAAGCTGGAACAACAAAATAAATCCCTAGGTGCAATTAACCCACTGAAGCATGGCAAGTTTTAGCAGATGAATCATGAAACAATGTTAAAACCACAGAAAGAGAATATTTTCAAGAAATCAGAAATTGTTGTCAGTGAAAAACTTAAGCCCTTTAGTTTCACTTGCTCTCAGTCAGTGTAAAAGTCACTAATCTTGGAGGTCATAATCAGGGGTCTTGAAAGTCAGGTGCCAGCTGGGCTCCTTGTCTAGAATCCCTTATGAATAAACAGAGTATGAGATTCTGCCTACCACATAGTGGGCCCTCATTACAGCTAGCCTCGAGGGCCCTAAACAACCAATTGAGTCTCAAGGGCTTTTTGTAGGGGTGGAGTTTTTGGAAAGTTCAAAAGAAAATCCACTTACTCAGTGTTCCCAAATTCCTGGAAAGGAATTCCATCAGCCCACAGCCTGATGTAGAGAGGGGCTGCTATTGTGGTATATTCAGCCTGAGAAGTCTCTTTCAATAGATTTTAACTCCTATGCTCATCTTAACTATCATTTTTTCTGTATTTACTTTTATATGTCTAAACTATCCTTCTGGCTTGAATTAGCTCTTAATATGCTGTTTTCTTTATAGTGCTGACCACCAGCCTGGGTCCATCTTAGGCCTTGTCCCTTGCTAGTTGCCTGTTCCTAAGCTAAATAGCTAAACTATCTCTTATAATAGGACTTGAACCCACAGGCCTGAATGTTTGGCACAGGACTACGGTGCCAGATGTACAAAAATTCGACAACCTCTAGGACAAATGGATTGTAACCACCCAGCTCTTGAAGCCCATAACAAGAAGAAACATCTTTTGTAACCATACCCTTGGCCAGTGGGAATTACCAGACTTCAGCCTACCCCAGCAATCAGTAAAAGCCCACTGCTCTTTTCTTATGAGAGTAGCAGCGTGGCCATTTTCTTGACCAATCCCTGATTCCTTCAGCCAGTGCCACAGTTCAGATGAGTCCCTCACCCCAAAAATCCTTTGCTTATGCAGTAATGTGTGTGCTTGCAATATCTGGCCCAGGCTTGTTTTCTGCCATCTCAGGGCCCAAAGATCCTGCCTTCCAGTATTGAAAAGTTAAAACATTCAGGAAACCCCTCTTGCCTTGTCACTGGGTCAGAACAACCAGTTGTTCTGACCTGATAGGGAAGTTGTGATCCGACGTCCCCAAAAATAAGAGAACTATAGACCCTGCCAGACAGGACATGAGTTTTCAAAAACATCAAGCCACTTGCAGCAGATAGCTCACCCACCAGTAAGCAAACGACACGACCCCTATTAACCAATGCCATCTGCTTCTGTAACTGACGCCTGCTTTGTGGCTTTCGGCTTTATATACTCTGCACTTCCCTACTCAGCCCTCTCCCTTTCCCCTCTTCCACCAGAGTGCGGTTGGAGGGTCCCTGCATGCACGGATAATAAAAACCCCTTGATTTTTCATGAGAGCTGGATCCTTGGGGCCTTCTTTGCGACGGTGATCTTACATTTGGAGGCCCCAGTGAGATCTGTCCCCCCCCTCGCCAAGGGAGTCCCCATCGGCCACGAAGTGTCTCTCAGGGTAAGTATAGCCGTTCCTTTTAATTTCGTTTTTGTGATTGATCATTTGTCTTAACTGCCCTGGATCGCTTCTGACCCGTACCTTGTGATCCTAATATAAGGACAGTTTCTTTGGGGGATGCCCCAAAAAGATTTTCTTGGGAGTCCATTTGTCCCTCGGACTCCCAGTTTGTTAGGAGGGGTCTCTTCCCCCCCCATTGGTGGTGGATTCACCAATCTCATGTGAGTGTGGCCAGCCAGAACGTGTGATGTGTTTTGTCTTATTGGTGTTCTCTGTTGTCTCAGTCTTTGTCTTCTCTTTTGTCATGGGACAAAGTGTCTCGACCCCTCTTTCCCTTACTCTAGACCATTGGTCGAATGTAAGGGAACTGTAATAACCTAAGGCCCCCTAACTATTGCACCATGAAGCCTGTTCTGTATAAGCCCGCCTGCTGCTTTCCCCTCCTCTTCCCCCTTCAAATATAACTAGGTTAAGTTTTAACTTCCTAAAAGGCCATAAAACAAAGTCCTGAGGTAATAGCTCCTGACCACCCCCCTCCTCTACCTGGTAGTCAGTCACAAATTGTGTCAATTGCATTAGATTGTAATAGCTTCGTTTGTATCATAACAATACCTGTGTGTTCCTTTCCCTCTGAGTAAAGGATTGATATGTTAATCAATGCTCTCCTGTGTAAAGAATTGTAAAATCTTACCTAATTGATATGTTAACCCCTGTTGTCCTCTACAAATAACAGTTGTAAAAGGTGCTAAAGTAAGGTTACTAAGGTTGTTAATTGCCGTTTCTGCTTTGTAGTGCGTCACACCCCCACCCCCTTCCTTACATTTTGTGACCAGCAGCTGTTTGAGGATTTACAAGATAAAAGCCCTGACCTTTAGCTGTCAGGTGCCCAGTCTTTGGGTTAACCCTAGAAAGACTGTGTCACCAGGCCTGAAAATAAAGCCTTTGCTCCCCAAATTTTAATTTCTTGCTTCCTTGAATTTCATACTGGGGTCCAGGTTATCACATTTAGGGGCTCGGTCCGGGATGAGAGCAAGACCCCAGACTCATTTCTGAACATCTGAAAGTAAGTACTCTGGAGGGTTTGTTTGGGCCATGGCCAATTTGTAATTTGTAATTTGGAGGGGATGCCCCCAATTTGGCAATGGGAACCCCCCCAAGGACAGAGTCATTTGTTGTTTTTTTTTTTTTTTTTGGACAAATTCCATCCGTCTGAAACTCTGCCCTGGGTGGGGAACTGCTCTGTTGGTTAATTTGTTAATTCCTCCAGATCCCAAAATTTGACTAATTTTTGAGCAAAGGCCATTTTGCTGCAGCTTGTCTTGTCTTATATGTCTGTTTGTGTGTCCATTTGTTCTAATTGTTCTCCTTTTGGTTACCCCAAATCTAACAGAGCATTCTCTCCTAGGAACCCCTTCTACGAGCCCAAAACGGACTAAAGGATTTAGATACTTATGTTCAGAGTTTTTGTACTTTAGAATTGTTTGCCTGTTTAAATTTGTTGCTAACTTACGGGTTTGTTGCCCATTTCTGTTGCAGGATCCATATGGCTTATTAGATTCAAGGTTCATAATAAGAATTATTTCCTTTAGCTCACCAAACTATGCACGAAGCACCCTTTGTTTGTGTCTTTAATGTTGTGGCGCCTTGTTTAATATGTAAGTCTTCAATTGATTGCTTGCAACCTCGGCATGCCTTTTAAAAGGAGTATTTTTCTTTCTGGTTAAAATGTAAACATATGTGCACATATACATGTATATTTATGGTTTGTAAGAATCATATCAACTTTACCAAGTAAAAACCAGGTCGTACTATATTTGAGTCAGTTAAAAGGTTACAGTTTTGTTTTTAAAAATACAGCATTTTTATGTGGTAAAAAGACATAAAATAATTAAGTATGTTTTAGACTACTAAAAGGTGACTTCAAGGGTTTTGTTAAGAGTTTTGATGATGTCTGAGAAGCGAGAGGAAAGGTAATTGACTGGTAATAGTAAAAAGAAGGACAAAAAAAAAAGTGTTTTGTCTTCAAGTAAAAATGTCTGGCTGTCCCAGAATGTGAAAAAAGATAAAAGCTTAACTTGGTTGGTATATTGTAAATTGTAAAAGGCTCAAGAGGATGTAAATTTTATTTGTCTTGGTTTATAGTACTGCAAATAACAGGTTTGACAAGAAGTAAATGTGTTCAGAATTTGACAGTATTAGATCAGTTTTGGTAGAAGTATTCATAAGATTGTACTTTACTGCAAAATGTTTCCATTAAAATGAGATTGTAGGTGATACTAGAGATAAGATACAAGTTCTTGCATGTGCTATAAACATCTGGGAAATTATACAGCACAATTTTGTTACCTATAAAAAAAGCCTTTTTTTGTTAAGAATATAATTTCAGTAAAATGATGGCCTGCCACGTGACATCCTGGAAAGGAAAAAAAAAAAAGAGCGGTGTGCATCCAAATGAAGCCGGCTCTCTGATCCTGAATGCCAAAACCATGTTCTCCTTTTGTCCCACCCTGATTGGACATCCAGAGGTAAGGAGGTTTCCCAGTATCGCCAGTTGTTCTCTTTGCAACTTAGTCGGCCCCACATGTTAGACAAAAATTGCAAAGGTTTTGAGAGGTTTGAGGGAATGCCCCTCAGCCAGTTAATAGAGATAGCACAAAAGGTCTTTGAGAACTAGAAAATTTACAAAAAGCTACCAACAAAAAGATAACCAAGGTGTTAAAATTGCTCTATGAGAGAAAATTTTTAAAAAAAACAGACAAGAGTTTCTGGGGGCGTTTGAATGCTGTAGGCTAAATTTTCCTAAAAAGCTCGCCTCTATATGACTCCTATAAGGGAGAAACTCAAAACACTGAACTAGACTGATAAATGTGAACAGGCCTTCCAGCAGCTCAAGCAGGCCTTAACAGAGGCCCCAGCTCTGGGACTCCCTGATGTTACCAAGGCATTCACCTTGTTCATAGACAAACTCAGGGGCATTGCCAAAGGAGTCCTAACTCAAGACATTGGCCCTTCGAAGAAGCCTATAGCCTACCTCTCCAAAAGACTTGATCCAGTGACAGGAGTATGGCCCCCTTGCCTAAGAATACTAGCTTCTGTGACAATGTTACTTAAGGAGGCAAAGAAACTCACTTTGGGCAAGTGATTTCTGTGGTAACCTCTCACAGTTTAGAGACTCTTATCAAAACCCCTCCTGGGGAAAAAAAAAAGGCTTTCAAATGCCAGAATTCTACACTGTCAAGCCCTGCTTCTAGACCCAGAGTCAATAATATTCAAGACTTCTTCAGCTTTAAACCCAGCCACCCTTATGCCTGATGATGACCTCGAGGAACAAAGGACCCCCCTCCATGAGTGTGCTGACATCCTTAAACTGCAACAGAACCTACGGGCTGATCTTACCAACCAGCTTTTGGGACAACTGTTTCATCGATGAAAGCAGCTTCATCCAGAATGGCAAACAAGTGGCCAGGGCAACAGTGACCACCAAAAAAAAAAAAAAAAAAGAGGTACTCTGGGTTAAGCCTGGCACCTCTGCCAAAAAGGCTGAGCTTGTTGCTTTGACTGAGAGGCTAAAACTAGCCGTGGGAAGGAGGGTAAACATTTTTAACTGACAGTAAATATGCTTTTGCTACTGTACATGTACATGGAGCCATCTATCAGAGCAAGGTCTCTTAACCTCAGCTGGGACTAAGAGTAAAAATGCTCCACAGATTCTAGACTCGCTGGCAGATGTCTGGCTGCCTCAATGAGTTGCTATTACTCATTACAAGACTCACCAGACAGGAGATGACACTGTCACCTTAGGAAACAGTTTGGCAGATCAAGCCACTCGAAAAATAGCAACCACATCAGGGGGCCCAACCAAGGAAGTAACTGCTCTGATGCTAGTCCCTCTGACCTTGTCAGAACCAGTCTACACACACACACACACACACAAAGGACCTACAGTTAGCATCTCAACTTGGAGTAAAGTCCCCCATCCCCAGGAGCTGGTTCCAGTTACCTGATAAACAAGTACTGTTACTGGAGGCACTAGGGCAGGAGCTGTTACACCAGACTCGCCAGACTACTCGTTTAGAGAAAACTAAACTTGTGTAATTGTTCAGAACTCGGTTTTTTATTCCAAAACTCTACAAACTGACCACCTCTTTGAGCTCCAGATGCCCACAGTGATTGTTAGTCAACTCAGCCAAGAGCTCTATGCTGGAGACCACCCGACATTAACAAATTGTTCCAGGAGAACATTAAAAAGTAGACTTCATGGCATGGTAAAGCCTGATTTACAGGGGTACCACTATCTCTTGGTATTAATGAACACTTCTACTGGCTGGGTAGAGGCTTTCCCTACTAAGTCTGAGTCAGCCTTAGTGGTAGTTAAAAGGCTATTGCATGAGATCATACCTTGATTTGGCCTCCCACTATCAATGGGGTCCGATAATGGCCTGGCTTTCATAGCCCGAGTCACCCAAAAGTTAGCCCAGGCATTAAAAATTAATTAAAACTCCACTGTGCCTACCAGCCACAAAGCTCAGGGCAAGTAAACTGTATAAACCAACGTCTCAAGGACATTTTACTAAGCTGTCTTCAAAAACTGGCGATAATTGGGTGAGCCTTCTTCCCTTTGAACTAAGAGCTAGATGTACCCCATATGTTTCTGGAATTTCCCCCATTAAAGCCATGTTGGGAGGCCTCTGCCATTGGTTCCAAGATTGCCAAAAAATAAATTAGCTAAAATAACTAATCAAGATCTCATTAAGTCCCGACAGACTCTCCAACCCGTGTTGACTTCAATCCACCAGCTGTTTAGACTAGACAAAAACACCCGGATCTGCCTTCAGAGACACCTCTCAAGGTGCTGATCAAGCCAGGGACTCTGGTCTTGGTGCAATGTCACCACCGTGACTCCCTCGAACCCCGCTGGGAAGGACCTTTCACCGTGGTGCTCAGGACCCCTACTGCCATCAAGGTAGCAGAAAAAACTGCATGGATTCACTACACTCACCTAAAGCCACTGGAAACAGCGGACAACGAGGGACTTACTCAGTAGACTACATAACAGACTGGTAACCCCTTAAAGTTAAAATTGACTAAGACATAGTTAGATTATGCTGGTCATGAACTGTTTTAGCTTGCTTGCTTTGATTTTAATAACATTGATGCTGACCTTGCACGGCGGCTTTGGTCCCCCTGTAAGCAAAGAACAATTGTTAAGGACTTTATGTGGGAGCTCCTGTGATTGTGGAGGGGGCTATATTACTAAAGGTAAAGACACCAACTGGGGGGAATTATACATACAATAGAAAACAAAGATAGAGATCCTCCCCACACAAATGATAAATTGTATACATACGGTCTTCGGACAGATTGTGGGGACAAGTTAACATTTCTTGTCGCTATACCCTCAGTTACAGGGGGTTTGACTAAAAGGTAGATGTAAATGATAAAGCCCCATGTGATACCTAACAAAGGCAGCCAGCCAGGGCCATGCCCTCAAAATTGTTCTTAGTATTCAAAAATGCATTCCTCCTGCTATGACTCTGTACAAGAATGTATAGGCATAGATAGCAAAACTTACTTCACTGCTGAGCTTATGAGGACAAGGGCTGAAAGAGTTAAAGGTGACTGGTCAACACATCCGACAGTGATAGGAAGTTCAAAGTATGCCCAAGCCTCATGTCTCAACATGGTTGGTAAATCAGTGTGCTGGAGCAGGGTGGCCCTATACATGTGTCTGATAGGGGCTGGGCCACAAGATAAGATCAAAAAACTCTGGTGGTTGAGGAACGAGTCAAGCTGCTAATAAAAATAAGCTGCCTAAATCATGGGGAGTTGATCTGGATGCTCAAACTTATGATATTCTGGAGGCCACTCATAAAGCCTTAAATGCTTCCAACCCAACTTTGGCTAAAGAATTGCTGGTTATACATGGCACAGGGCTCCCCCATCCCTCTTGCCATCCCCAACAGTGTTTCTTTGGCTACACTGGAGAAACAAGATTACTTAAATTATAGTGCTGGTCCCCCCTTTAGAGTACAACCAGTAGACTTCAAGGACTCTCTCTGTCTCCAAGGAGGTTTTCATAATGATACCTCCAACATTGACGTGGAGTTCATTACATTTATTGATTATAGTTCCATAGTTAACCGGACTAACCTCCTTTATCCTGCCAAAGGACAAGTATTTATTTGTGGAAGAAATATGGCCTATACTTTCCTCCCAACTAACTGGACAGGGATATATGTAACAGCTGTCCTGTTGCCTGATATAGAGATCCTACCCGGGGATGAGCCTGTCCCCATTCCTAGTTTAGATTACATCACAGGCCACTCAAAGAGGGCAATTCAATTTATTCCTTATTGGTAGGCTTAAAGATATTAGGAGCCTTAGGTATAGGGGCAACAGGAGTAGGGGTTTCTGTCCAACCTTCCAACCAGATTGTTAGTGATGTACAGACATTATCTAGTACCATTCAGGTCATTCAAGAACAAATAGACTTGTTGGCTAAAATAGCTCTCCAAAACAGAAGGGGACTAGACCTACTCCTCCTAAAGGAGGGCGGCCTATGTGCCGCTCTAAAAAAAAAAGAGTGCTGTTTTTATGTTGACCATTCAGGCATAGTAAAAGACGCCATGTCCAAACTCAGAAAAAATATCAAAACTAGAGAAAAAGAAGACTCTTCGGGGACATCCTTCCCTTCCCTATGGCAAGGGCTAGCTCCTTATGTTGCCCCCTCCTGGCCCTTTAGCTGCTTTGCTCCTACTCCTTACCATTGGCCCTTGCGTTCTAAACAAGATCACACAGCTGGTGCGACCACAGGTCTCCCAGGTAAAGATGATGGTCTTGAGATACCAATATGACCCAGTACCTACTAATAATCTCTAGGATTAGAGATCCTCACAAAAAAAGAGGGGGAAATGACGAGTTAAAACATTCAGGAAACCCCTCTTGCATTGTCATTCGGTCAGAACAACCAGATGTTCTGACCTGATAAGGAAGTTGTGATCGACATCCCCAAAAATAAGAGCACCGTGAACTATTGACCCTGCCAGACAGGACATGAGTTTTCAAAAACATCAAGCCACTTGCAGCAGATAGCTCACCCACCAGTAAGCAAACGACAGGACCCCTATTAACCAATGCCGTCTGCTTCTGTAACCGACGCCTGCTTTGTGGCTTTCGGCTTTATATACCCTGCACTTCCCTACTCGGCTCTCTCTCTCTCCCCTCTCCCACCGGAGTGTGGTCGGAGGGTCGCATGCGCGGACAATAAAAACCCCTTGATTTTTCATGAGAGCTGGATCCTTGGGGCCTTCTTCGCGATAGTGATCTTACAGTATCACAAGGACATTTTACTTACTCTAGCCAATCATTGCCCCCCACCTTTCCCTGTTGGTGTTTGGGGTGTTAAATTATGTACAATAAAACTGTTTAGAAAATTATGTAACTGAAACTAAACTTGAACTTAATTTTTACCATCAGGGTGGTTACAGAATCTTTGTAATCTGACCAGCCCCGGGACAGCTGGTCACCAAATCCCTGAGATTTAGAGAAAACCTGGTAGGGTTTTCTGCTGTTCCCAAGCCTCTCAGCCTCCACCATCCCAGGAGCCCTCTGGGTAGACGCACACCCAAGTTCATCAATGTCAGGGGAAGGCCAGTGTCGTGCAACCTCAGGTGAGATGGCCAGAGGTTGCGATATGAAGGATTTTGCGAGGATGGTGCCTAAATTAAGCATGTTAGTTTCCTCACCCGAGTGACAAAAACAGCTCTTAAAAGGCAAGTCCAGTATCTACATTTCCTTAGGGATTGAAACTCATGATCTGCAGTTCCTCAGAGAAGTGAAAGTACCAAAGAGGAATCCAGTAATTCCTGTTATCTGCAGGCTTTATAAGTCAGCTCGTCAGGAGGTAGCAGAAGCCAGCAGCTCAGCACAGCGATCTCTCACCTGGCCCACAGCCCCGGGAGCACCAGGATGTCACAGACCAGGCCGTCCCTGCTGCTTCTACTGCTTGCCATCCATGGTGCCTTGGCCCTGAAGCTCTGCTCCTTCAACGTGAGGTCCTTTGGGGAAAGCAAGAAACAAAACCAAAATGCCATGGATGTCATTGTGAAGGTGAGTCCTGTTCCCGTAGGAGAGATGCTGGGCTCCCCCACTGCCCTCTCTCCTGACTCCATACTTTGGAAGACTCAGGAGGAATTTAACTAGTTTGCCCTCTAGGTAAAGACAGAAGCCAGTTTGGAATCTGGCAATGATAAGAACAACAATTACAATACTCACTTCACTTCCTGCCACTTGGCACCTCTGGCCTAATGACAATGCCCACTGCGGGGTGTGCTGTGAGGGCTAACTACATACAGAAATGAAAGGCAAGGTCTTAACATGGTACGTGGTTCGCAGTAAATCCCAGGTAAATCCCAGGCTGGCTAGTATGATGGTTTTTATGACTCCTTATTGAATGCCTGTGTCAGGCACTATAAATACATGATTTTATTCCATCATTATCATGAGCACAGACTATGATTCCCCTTGTAGAGATGATGAGCAAGTAAGATGCTGTCACACTGCAGCACCAGAGAGTGGTGGGTGGGTGGGAGCTGAGATGCCAGCCCAGCCAGGTCTTCCTGACCGGCAGTGAGGCACATTCTTTTTTTCCCTTCCTCTCTCTCTTTCGTCCTTTTCTTCTTCCTTTTGCTCTGCCCCTTTCCCTTCTCTAACCCTTCCACCAAACTTCTCTTAACTCTCAATTCTACTCTCTCAGCATAGATAATACTGTTCTTGAATAAAATGACCAATGTCTGGGGAAGTTGTTCACATTTCTCTGTAGTTAGTTGACTGGGAAATAAAGGTAGTTAGTTAGTTGATGCTGGGAAATAAAACCTTTCCCAGGACTCTGGTGAGTGATTATTATCTTAGAAAATCCCAGAAGTATGGTGGGAATGCCAAGAGCCTTAGGTTTAGATCCTACCTGTCAGCTGCAAGAGCTCAAGAGTCTCTACCTTCCTGAGCACACAGGTGCTTCCTGTAGGATATGATGATGCACCCTACAGCTCGGGCTGGCTTAGAACAGAGCCCATCCCAGGACAAGTGTCTGTGTTAGTGGCAGTTGGAGATGACTCCAGTGAAGACTGGCAGCTGTCATCTGCCTTAACTGGTCCTTCACTCTGGTCAGCCCTGCCCTTTGGATGGTACCCAAGGGCATCTAGATGTTGTTTACCCAGGACAGCCGTGCCAAACCCGTGGGCGCTGTCATGCTGTGGCTCAGCCGGTAATTCTGGCATGCAAGGAAACTGTTTCCCTGATTCTTCACAAGTGCCCACATGAAGCCGGGGACTTACAGAGTTTCTGACCCTTTCTCACTCAACCCTGGAAACACCAGCAGTCTTAGAAGTTGTCTTTGGTTCTGTACTGGTTCCTTTCCTTTCCTGTCTCCCCTCTGCTGCCCTGCCTACCCAAGTGTGTATAAAGTCTTTGTCAAGGTCACTTTACCCTTTGCATTGCCACAGCCTGGAAACAGAGGCCACTCAAAGCATTGCCAGAGTCACTTAACAGGCAGTAATAGTTAACTCTGAATACCAGACTTTCAAAATAGTGTTTCCAGGGCCATTTCCTGAGCACCGACTAGGTGCTCAGGCCACCGCACTTGCATTCTTATTTAATGTTATGATAAAGGTGGGATTTCCCTACTGTATAACTAGGAAACTGAGGCTTGGAAGGCATAATGACTTCTCCAGTTTTCCAGAGCTAGTAAGAGAAAGAGCCATATGACTGTCTGTGTAAACTGAGATGCCTCTTCCACTCTTCCAGACTGGCTTTATCACTTTAAGATCAACTCGACACATCACATTATGGTCATTCTGATTTGCACAGGGCAGGCTGGAGGAAGATGGAATTTGCCTGCTTCATCTGTGTTTACCCTCCCCTGCTGTAGATGGGGATCGAGATGCCCAGTCCTGCCTGGGCACGTCTCATTCTGTCCATGTTCTTCAGTTTATGTCCTTACAGGCAGAGTTTATTTACCCAGCAGCTACTCACTGAAGGGAGGTCATGTGCCAGGCACCCCAGGGAACAGAGGATGCGATGGTGAATGTGGGAAACACTGCCTCCCTCTTCCCAGGATGTACAGCCCAGCATTTCTGGAGCATTTACTCTGGACTGGACCTTTAATAGAGTTCAGCCTCATGACCACTCTTATGATGAGGCAATGGGAGCCCAGAGAGGTGACATAATTTGCCCACATTGTGACATTCAGAGTCTTCTCTAGCATGCTATGCTGCTCCCTAATTAGAAGCATGGGGTAGGGTTTTGTTCACTGCCCAAGACATTCTTAGGCCCTTCCAGACCATCCCTTCCCTCTCCCCGGCCCAGCCCATGACAGCCATGACAGGGGCGATTTACACTAACCACACATAGCTCTTTAAACTCTCTCATCTCCCTGTGGACAGTCAGAAATTTGGCTTTCACCATGGTGCTCTCATGTTTCTAAGCTGGGCTCTGGAACAGTCACCCAGGACCTCATCTTCGTAGAATTCTCCTGAGGAGCTGAGCCAAGAAAAATATGGTTTCGCCCAGTTCTCTAGGCTGAAATGAGGGCAAGAAAAATGTGTCAAGATTCAGTTTTAAAACTTAATACTTAATGACAATGAAACATGCAACATTCTGCAAAGCAAGATTTAAACTATATGATAAATGCCATCACTCTTTATGGAACACCTATTCTGTGCAGTGACCAGTTTGAGCAATTTATGTCCACTATGTCTTTTAATTCCTATAATGATCCCATGGAGGTCATAAAATTATTCTTATTTTCTCAGGTTGTAGATAAGGAATCTAGGTGTTTCTTATGTGATCTTCTCTAGGTCACACAGGTGATCACACAGGATCAAGACATGAACCCTAAGACTGTTTGACTCAAAGCCCATAGTGAGAACTAAACGGTTAAGCACTGTGATGCCAGTTTTGTAAATAAGCATAGAATACATATGGGAAAAGGTCTGAATGATGGGGTTATAGGTCATGTGATGCTTCTATAGTCTTTTCTCAATTTTCTAGATTCTCTACATAAGCAACATTATTTTTATAATTAGAAAATTCTAATAACATTTTTGTGGTACTAGGGCTTGAACCCAGGGCCTTGCATAGGCTAAACATACTCTCTACCACTGAGCTACACCCCCTGGACCACAAAAGTACTTTTAAAAGAAATGAGTAGGAAAATTATTCCCTTTTTTTCTTACACTGCACCTTGCAAATTTTGCTCAGCTGTTTCCAGAATGGTCCTCTTCCTCTCCTGGCTTCCTTTCTTTAATTCATTCCAGGTTTTCAGGCAGAAGCTGGCATTAAAGTTATACGTAAATCCAGGCTAGTGTGTGGTCTGGTACACAGCAGGCCTATGACAAAATATAGTTGGATAGGTAAGCAGACGGACAGATGGTCAGAAATATAGGTAGATTGGGTGGGTAGAGACCAATTGGCCAAATTTATAGGGTCCCTCCCCAAGAGAACTCCAACAGTGAGATCTTGGGTATCACTCATTGCAGAGTGGATTCTTGTCTACAGGAAATATTCCCCAAAATATCAAGGAAGTAGAAATCAGTAACAGCTGGAAATGGGGGTTCAGAAATGCTTGCTAAGTGAGAACAGATTGATAAACAGGAAATCTGAAGCTTGAACCTTCTACTCAGGAAGGGAGTCTGAACATATGCTCTACATTTGCCCTGTACCCACGGGTCACCCAAAAAAGGGATCTTGGCCTTTGAGGAGGAGCAGTCACAAGGACATGCTAGACTGTTCCTTCAGGGTGACCAGGGTGCCGACCAAGCTGTTAAATGCACCAGTGCAGAAAGGGTTACAGAGTAGATGTCTGTTACCCTATTTTTCCTTGGGGTTCAGACTGCTAAAGCTGAGTGAGACTCAGAGTAATCAGGGGATATAGGAAGCTGTTCAGGCTCTGACAATCAGAGTCAGCACAAGAGCTGACTTTCACGAAGTCCTCACTGTGCTAGGCAAATTGTGCTAGCCCTGGAGTAGGCACATTACATATGATAACTCATTTAACTTACACTAAGCATGTTAGAAACGTACCTGTCACTCCCTAATAAATTCTGGCATTGGTGGCTGGTGGTTTCGCTGAGTGGCACAAGTGCCTGCTTGGCAAGCACAAGGTCCTGAATTTAATCCCCAGTACCAAAAAAAAAAAAAAAAATTCTGGGATCATCTCTCATTCCATACTTTTGTCCTTGAAAGCAATTTCTTTTTTAAAATTATACTTCAAAAAGTTACACTTCAATGTTTTGAGTATGAAGATACAAATTTAAAGTATAAATTTCTTTATAATTATAAAATACTTTTATGAGATTAAAAACCATTATGGACTGTTTTGAAGATATGAAAACATGTAAGGAGGAACAAACACTATCTTGTTGCTTGACGATAACAGTTGTTAGAATTGTGTAACTTTCTTAGGAAAATGTTTCTATGCCAAAATATGTAAATCTGTATCTATTTTTATAGCATGGTTACCACCCTATCCATCAGCTTTGTATTATGCTTTTCTACTAGAAATACTTCCCATGATGGTACTATTCTTCTAAAACATGACTTTTAATCCTATCTAGTGCCTTGTCCTTGATTTGCAGCACACAAAATTGAATACCTTCCTATTTGGGGTTACCTAGATTGTTTTCAGTGTTTCCGTGCATCTCCCTCTCCTGCCCACACAAGTAATAACCACAGTCTGCTCTGCGGCCCTGCATGGCTGGAGCTGTGCACGCTTCACCTCCCAACAACCCTGTGACTGATGGGCTGTTACCACCCCGATTTAAAGATAAGGATATTGAGGTGCAGAGGAGTGGTAGATATTTCCTTAAATGGAAGGCATTCTTCAAGATGGGAAAAGAAGGAGAGTGCAGACATCTTAAATTCCATTCCATGAAGGTCTGATGGTCAACAGTGACCTTGTCAGCAAGGCAGCTTCAAGGGTGGCTCCTTGGTGAGCTCTGCATGGCTGAGGCTGCGGGCTTCCAGGCTGCTGGCGGGAGGCAGCAGACCTGATACACAGTCTGCCTCCTCAGTCAGTCTGCGGGCAGAACTCCAGCTAGGCCAGCTGCTTGCAGCTGAGCCTCTAAGGGGTGCACCTGAACAAGTGAGTGCTGGCGTCTCTCCCCACCCCACCCTTCTGAAGGTGGAACTGCAACAGATTCTCTGGAGATAGAGGCAGTGCCACAATCTCCTGCTCTGTGTCCTTGTAGTCGTGTGAGAAGACAAACTTAACCGAAGGGATGCTTTCTCCTTGACCAACAAATCCTATGGTACCAGGTCATTAGGATCCCACATACAGAAAGGCCTGAGTAGTCACCAAGCTACATGAGCTTGGTTTGCACCCTGGTCACCCTGAAGGAGTCTCTCTTGTGTTCCTGTCATGTTGAACTTCTAATCTTTCGAGACTGCAAATGTACCCTCCTCTTGGGAGCCTTCCCTGAGCCTCTGGGAAGAAGCAATTAATTATTTCCCCACTCTTCCAGGGCCTGTGACTTTTATTTAGCATGAATTTCATTTGCTCCTCATGGTAGTGGTTTTTTATGTATCTTGCTTGCTGGAGTATGTGTTTTTGAGAGCAGAGACTGTGGTTTAACAGTTAAGCATGGTGGCCTTTTTAGTCATAAGCCTGAGTTCAAACTTGGCTTTTCTGGGGGCTGGGGATTTAGCTCAGCAGCATAAGTGCCTGCCTTGCAAGCAGGCAGTCATGAGTTCAATCCCTGGTACCGATAAAAAGGAAAAAGACAAAAAAAAAGAAAACTTCGTTTTTCTGATTCATCTTTGCTGTGTGACTTTCAGCAGCCACTTGACCATTCTGAGCTTGATTTTCACCTAGGTTTAATAGGCTTATAATTAGAGTCATGAAGTAGGGTTGTTGTGAAGCTCAGATTAGGTTGACAATAAATATTAGCTTTTATAATTATTATTATACTTGTACCATTTCATTTCTGCAATATCCAGCCTGGGGCTTTTACTTACTAATGACTTAATAAATAATTGTGGCCATGATTGTAGTTAATAAAGCAAAGCTAAGACATAGGATGTGCAGGGCATCATGATTATGGGATCTGGATTTCGATTGCTTAGGTTCAAAATCTGCCTCAGCCACTTGATAGCTGGCTGATATTGTAATTTTCTTTACTTTCCCTGAACCTTGGTCACCCCATCTTTAAAATGGAATTAATTAATTAATTAATTAGTTAATCGATGGCTGAGCGTGGTGGCACATGCCTGCAGTCCAAACTACTCCAGGGGCTGAGACAGGAGAACTGCTTGAACTCAGAAGTTTAATGCCAACCTGTGCAACACAGTGAGACACCAGCTGGAACACAACCATAACAGGAACGTACTAAAAGCAGGTACGTTCAGGAGACTTTCATTTCACTGAGGGAGCTAAATGCAGTACCATTGTAATACACAACGCACAGGAAGGACCAGCTGAAGGCTGTAAGAGTTCTCCTAAACGGCCTCAAACCTTGGGATTCTCTCTGCAGATCATCAAACGCTGCGACCTCATGCTGCTGATGGAAATCAAGGACAGCCACAACAGGATCTGCCCCATGCTGATGGAGAAGCTGAACGGGTAAAGTGGGGTCGGGTTGGACCCTCTGAAAGCCTGAAGGCAAGAGCAAGGAACTGAAACCAGGGGGACAGCCAGCAGAGTATACTGACCACCATGTCACACAGCCAGTGCTGGCCAGGCTCCACCCTCCTTAGCCACAGTCCTTTGAATTTTGAGCTATCTGGTTTTAATATGATTAAGTAAAAATAGGGGAACCAAGTGAAGAATTAAGAAATGAAAGCAGCTGAGCTGAAAATCTGTCATAAAGAAAAGAATGAATGTCAACAATAGAAGAAAAGCCAATAAAATTATGATGTGTGCTCATGGGCTGGAATATTATTCAGCTGTTAAAAAGCATGTCTGCTACAGAATAAGTTACAATTGTGAACGTGCTATTTTCAGTATATTATGGCCATTTTTCTATACTAGAATATTTAGCTGTAAATAGAGCAGCTCGATATGTAATCTTTTACACAAATTTGAGTGTATTTGTGTTTGAGTGAGCACAAATGAAAGACTGACAAGATAGACCCAACCTGGTAATAATGGTTATTTTTGTGGTGTGGATGAAGAGTAGGTGGGGAGCAAGTCAGTGATGGAGTGGGGCACATTTGCTTCTTATTTTTATTTATTTATGGGGTGGGGGACACCAGGAATTGAACTCAGGACCTCACATTTGCCAGGCAGGCACTGTACTGCTGAGCTGTATCCCTAGCCCTTTGCTTTTCATTTTCATAGTTCTACATGATTTGAATATTTTACAATCATCCCATGTTAATTCTATAACTTAAAAATCAATAAAAGTAATGTTTTAGATGACATTGTTTTAGATGACATTGGATGATTGTTGTAGCTTACATTCCTTCTGAATAATCAGTGGATCCACTGTGTTAGTCAGCTTCTCATCACTGCAACAAAAGACCCAAACCCAAAAGAGCAACACCTTATAAGGAGAGCAGGGTTATCCCGGTTTACAGTTTTGCAGGCTCTAGTCCATGGTTAGTAAACCATGCTGCTTTGGGCCTGTGCTGAGTCAGAATATTCTGGTCGCGGCATCAGCAGCGCCTCAAGGTTTCTGAGAAACAAAGAGAAAGCAAGGAGAAGGGAGCAGGTGACAATACGCCCTTCAAAGCCAATCCCCTGACTGACTCCCGCTCCCCAGGCCCCGCCCCCAGGGGCCTAGTGATACAAGCCTTCAGCACTGGGCTTTGGGGGATACTTCTCATCTCCCTCAACTCAGGATCACCCCAGAGTAAGCTACAACCACATGCAGATTGCTCTCTTCCCCGCTGAATGAGAATATCGACGAGAGGGAACCCGAGGTTTGTTTGTTTCATTTCTGTGATTTTAGGTATTGACCCCAGGCCTTCTTCCTGAGCTACATCCCTAGCTCTGTTTTTATTTTGAGACAGGGTCTTGCTAAGTTTCCCAGGCTAAGGTAGAACTTGCAGGCCTCCTTCCTTGCTCCAGCAAACTGAGTGAGAATTAGAATTTTAAAGAAACTTCTCTGGTGATTCTGATATGCCTTAATTTATTGTATTTACTTATTTATTTCTTATTTTGAGATCAGGGACTATGGTTTAATAGTTTAGCATGGTGGCCTTTTTAATCATAAGCCTAAGTTCAAACCTCGTTTTTCTGATTTATCTTTGCTTACTATTTACTTATTTTTTTGTGGTGCTGGTTATCAAGCCCAGAGTCTCATGCATGTTAAGCAAGTGCTCTATCACTAAGCTACACCCCTAATCTGATATGTCTTATTTTTTTATTTTAAAGAGAATCAAACCGAACAACTTAAAACCGAATAAAGCCAATCAAAACAAAACAGTGAAGGTGATACAGGACTTCAAAACAGGAAAACAGGAAATCAACAATGGCTACCATAATGCCTCTTATTATCTTCAAATTGCTGCCCATACCATCAGACATATTAAATCAAACAACACAGAACAGAATAAAACCAATCAAAACAAGACATTGAATAAAACAAAACAATAAAATTGAAGAAAACTAAGCAGTAAGAACAATATTGTATTTCAAAAACAAGACAGAAGGAAATCCCCCATAGTTGCTGGATTGCATATTGTTATCCTCTTAATAGATGCTCAGACTACTGGCCTTAGGCCTGCAAAGTCGATCAAACAATACAAGCATTAAGTTGTTTTTGTACCTCAGTTGCTATCAACTCAGCCTGTCCTCCAAATCAGCAGGTTGCTTACAGATGTGTGCTTGTGTGCATGCACAAGTGCATGTGTGTGTGTCCTTGTCTCCCAGGCCACACGCTGGTTGGCTCATGGGAAGAGAGAATTGGCTTCTTGTTATTCCTCTCAAGCCCAGCATGGCTTCCACCAACTGAGGGGAAGAGCAAATTGTTACATCGTTAAAACCTCCAATATTAGGATTTTTTTAACATAACTGTAAGATCAAGCAACAAATAGAATACACAATGTGTATGATGTTCACTTAATTATGTTTTAAAAAATGTAAGAGTCAAGGAACATAATGCACATTGTTGTCAGTGACTACATTAATATACAAATTTACTAAGAATTTGAATAATTTTTCTATTTTTTTCTGTACTTTCCAATGAGAATTTACAATTGCAGTTTTTCTTATGAAATACCCAATCAAACATACTTAAAATCACAGAGATATTCTAACCAACAGACATGTATCCACCACCTGGATTTAACAAATAGTGACATCCTGGCTGGCTTTGGCAGTCAGGAACGTCACGCTGTTTCTTAGCAATGTAAGGTCAGTTTGGACTCACAAAGCTGGAAAGGGGCAGCCAGGCATCGCCCCTGCACACAGAGGGCCTCTTGGGCTTGACCCACCCTCCCCTGGGCTTGGCGGAGCTTAGGCTGTTAACTTCAGCCAGTCTTGTTCCCAGATCTGATCTCTGAAAGATGGAAATGCAGAGCCAGGGATTTAACTCAGTGGCACAATGTCTGCCTGGTAAGTGCAAGGTACTGAGTTCAATTCCCAGTTTAAAAAAAAAAAAAAAGAGGGGCTGTCCGAGTGCAGTGGTGTTTACAACTAATTGATCACAACCAGTTACAGATTTCTTTGTTCCTTCTTCACTCCCACTGCTTCACTTGACTAGCCTTAAAAAAAAAAAAAGAGGGAGATGCAGAGTGTAGCCTAGGTGTAAAGAGCCCATGTTCAGCTCAGAGTATCTACATCTTGGCTGTGCTGGTGACCTTGGGCAAGTTACAGCACTCTTCACACTTCGTTTTCCCTCTGTACCATGGGGCTAATGTCTTCCTCGGATGCCATAACTAGATTAAGTCATGCACATAGATATCTGGATAGTGCCTGCAGTGTAGCCACAATCACTAAGTGCTGCCAATTCCTATGACTACTACAAGGAAAGAATTGCAATGGCAGGTGATGGCCCAGGTGTCACATGCAACAGCTACCAATGATACCTACAGCCCTGGCAGGCATCCTGATGATCAGGTTCTATAGGTAGTGTCATTACTCTCCACAAAGCCTGGAGTGGAGGATACTGTCCTGCTTCCCTTACTACCAAGGCAGGTTAGAATCAGAAAAGGCCAGCTTCCTGCAGTGAAAACTTCATAGACTCTATTGGCCTCTCTTGGGCTCCCCAGGGCCGGGTTTGGCTTAAAGCATGTATTTGAAGTTCCAGGGATTCCTGTACTCTAAATTGCCCCTAAATAGCCTACCTACCCTTATAACCCCAAAACTCTGCCACATATTTACCCATGCCTTAGATTTTCCTGTGGACAGGTAGGGTGAAAACTGTGTCAGGTTGTGCCTAGAGTGGAATTATTGGCAGACTTGGCAAACACAGAATCAAGATAGCCTGGGGCAGGTAAGGTTTCAGGTAGCGATTTGCAATCATAGTCGCAGGACTTGGGAGAAAGTGCCTGGGAGTTTCAGAGGCCAGAACATTCCCGCCTTTCATGAATGCTTAGGAATGGCACAAGGACAGCTCCACGAGAAAGGAGAAACCACAGTTCAACAGGGGCCAAACAGATTTTCCAATTCTGCCTAAATAGTCCACAGACTCATAGATGCAGGCCAAATCTTGTGGGCTTGGGGATGACTCAGGTCTGGGTTCAATCCCACCTTTGTCCTCTTAAATTATAAAAGGAGGTAACAATGCTATCTTCCTTTATAGGATAAGAAATAAGGGCTAGGGATGTAGCTTAGTGGTAGAATGCTTGCCTAGCAAATCTGAGGCCCTGGGTTCAATTTCCAACAGTGAAAAAAAACTCAAGTATAGTGGTGCACATCTGTAATCCCAGCACTCTGAAAGCCTGAGACAGGAGCATCACAAATCCATGCCTTGCCTAAGCAATTTAGGGACTTCTTGTCTCAAAATAAAAAAGATAGCTCTGTGTGTAGGACCTAAATTCAATCCTCAGAACTGAAATCGGAAGAGGAAGCAGAAGAAAAAGGAGAAGGAGAAGAAGGGAAGGAAGGAAGAGAGGGAAGAAGGAAGGTAGTTAAGCAGGCTTAAGGATCTGGCAGATGTTTCTTGTCAAACTCAAAAGTTGTGCAAGTAGCACATCCTTGTAATTTCAGAACTTAGAAGCCTGAGGCAGGAGGATCATTGAGTTTGAGGCCAGTTTGGACTGCATAATGAGACTCTGTCTTTAAAAACAAAAAAAAATTGCCAGGGATTTAGCTCAACAGCATAAGTTCCTGCCTTGCAAGCATGCGGGCGTGAGTTCGATCCCTGGTACCAAAAAAAAAAAAAAGTTATGAATTATTTCCCTTCCACATGATACCATTGGGAATAGGAAGGCAGATTAGCAAGGGGGGATATATGCGACAGGAAGATCTTCATTCTTTAAGACAAAATCTTCATGTTTTCTAGAAATTCAAGGAGAGGAACAACATACAACTATGTGATTAGCTCTCGGCTTGGAAGAAACACATATAAAGAACAGTATGCCTTTCTCTACAAGTAAGTATCATCTATGCTCTTTGAAACATGGTCTCCTTAGGGGCTGGGGGTTTAGCTCAGCGGCATAAGCACCTGCTTTGCAAGCAGGCGGTCATGAGTTCAATCCCTGGTACTGATAAAAATGAAAAAGAAAAAAAAAAAAAAAAAGAAACATGGTCTACTTAAAGATATGACCATGAATTGAATCAAAATACCTATGTGCTTCAAAACCAGATTTTGCTTTCTAACTAGTTCTCAGTATCAATCAAAATAATTGCTGTCAAAACTGGAGCTGGTGCAAAGTATTAAATCTTGAGACTTGAAAATGTGAACAGCTTCCTAACACCTAGCTGCTTGGCGAGGTGGGTAGGTGCCAAGCTCAGGGGTTCTTTACTCTTCATGGTCAGGTCCTGGTCCTGCGCTGTCCTGCACAACTGACTAATCTTGTCTTCCTCCTAGTGATTTACAAGTAAGTCTGCACAGTCATGTGTAGGGCCTCAAGTAAGCAGTACCACTGAGATGCTCCGGTCCCGGAGAGCTGACTCAGTCTTGATCTCAGCAAAATATCTTTCCTCTTGCTGTGGAGGCTAACAGAGCCATGAGAACCTACCCTAGCTCTTCAAAGAAGTAAAAAGCACTTCCTTTTTTCTCTTCTAGGGAAAAGCTGGTGACAGTAAAGGACAACTACCTCTTCCATGATGAAGACGCAGACGTGTTTTCCAGGGAGCCCTACGTGGTCTGGTTCCAGTCACCCCACACTGGTGAGACCCACCAGCCCCTCTTTTGCATGCCCTCCCTACAGGTCCATAAATAGGTAGCAGCTGTAAGCACTCTCAAACAGCATCCCAGGGCTCAGGCAGCATCTTCAAGGAGGTGCTGACCTCCAAGGACCATGTGGTGCTCTTAATCCTTGAAAGGGGACAGGGCCATGGGCAGCATCAGGCCTACTTTTCAGAGTCTCCTGACGTGCAACCGCCCTACCAGTTCCATCTTCTGAGGCCAGGAACAACTCCATTCTGTTTGGACCAGTTAGCTCATGAAAGTAACTTACTGCAAGTCCTTGGTTCCTGTCCAGCTCCTTAATTTTTAAAAGATTCAAGTGATGAGCAGCAAGAGTCTCGCTGTCCCTGCAGTTGACACTAGCAGTCTCCTCTACAGATGTGGCAGAGATGAGGAAGAAACCCAAGCCAGCTGCACCCTGAGCTCCAGCCCTATGCTAATCCCTCATTAAGTGCTGCACCTTGTAGCCCTTGCAAAGACAGCAAGGTAGAGACACTTTACATTTGAGGAAACCAAGGTTCAACATAGTGTAGTCACTTGTCCAGGTCACCTGCTAATCAAGTGGATGAGCCAGGATTGTGACCTAAGGTGCCGTCCCAACCACCACACACACTCAAGGGAAGGTTGAAAAGTAAATGTGGTTTGCAGGACCAAAGACTATTTTGCTCAGTGCCTACTACTTGCCAGACACTGTTGAGGGCACCAGAGAAGGCAGATAAGATTCCTACTCTTGTGAAGTTATACTACAGTAAAGGAGACAAATGATGACCAGATAGATACATGCTGGACTGGGTGCGGAGTTCAGTGGTAGGGCACAAGCCTACCATGCATAAGAACCTAGTTCAGTCCCCAGTACCAAACACCTGAGTGTGTGCAAGGTTATAAGCGTATGGCTTCTGCACAGTGGCACCTTGGTTCATGAATTTGATTCTTTCCATGATTCTGATCACAAACTGCATTGGATGGAAACTAAATCAAATTCGATTATTAGGTTCAGTGCTGACGCTATGGGGAAATTTGACTTCATGCTCTCCCAGTTCTGTTTTCAACCAGAGCCTGGAAAGAATTCAGCTCATGAGTCCAAGTACCACTGTACCAGCGTAAGCTTCCTGAATGATAAAATTCTGCCCACAGTTAATGAGCTCAGGGCGAGGAGCACTGTTAGAGAAGTCAGAGCGGGAGCTGCTGAGGGCAAGATGAGCCCTTCGGAGAACACAAGTGGTAGTCCTCTTTGCCATGCACATGTACACGCTTCACATTATTCTGGCCTAGAAGAGTCCTCCGACACCACCCTCACCCCACTAACCTTGATGAATTTCTAAGCAAACCTGTTTGTCTTGAGCTGTTGCACTTTCCTTCACTATCTAACCCCTTCCCTGGGATAGTATTGTTCATTTGGAGTGTTCCCTTCTGTGTCAGGAAACCTCCTATGTCCCCTCAACCTGAAATTAAATTAGCTTTTTATTCATCCATTTATCCATGTGTTCAGTCAACAAACTTTTGAGTACCTATAATGTGCATTGACCCAGGCACAATCTTTCATTAAAAGACACTAATAAGGAAGTGAAAACAAGTGGGAAAAGGCACATGCAATTTATACTAACAAAGGGCTCATGTCAAGAATATATAAAGAATCCCAGCACTCTGGGATGCTGAGACAGAAAGAACACACATTCGAGCCCCATGCAATATGCAACACTACACTAGGTTCTGGAGCCAAGGGGGGGCAGGGGTCACTTGAGCACAAGGTCCAGGGGACCACGTAGGGAAGTGAAGGGGGTGACTTTGGAGCATGCGGAAAGTACCCTGATGTGCTCTGAACAATGGATCCTGGGGTTCATTTTGGGTGGGGCGACCAGGGATGGCCCTTTGGGGGTGGCATGAGGCTGTGATCTAAGGAAGCTGTCTTACAGAGGGCTGGGAAGGGGATGCAGGGAAACAGCACAAAGATTTGGGGAGTGAGAGCATGTGAGGAGAGTGGACAGAGCTGCAGAATGAGGCTGAGACAGAAGGAGGTGAGCTGGAAGGCAACTAGGGTAGAGCCTGGGCCCTGACGGCAGACAAATCAGTCCCTGCTCCCACTGTGCGACTTGAGCAAGGACCCCTCACAGCTTCTGCCCAGACAGAGTGAGGGCTGCTAAGGAAAAGGCAGAAAGCTCTTAACAGAGAAGCTGCAGCTGCAGGGGCTGGCCCAGTGGCCACACTCCAGCCCATCCCCAAAGGAAGGTGTTCAGACTACCCACAAAAGCTGTCTTATTCTTAAAGATCTTTTGGGGCTTTTTCCTTGATTACAAGAGGAGTATAAACTGGCAAATCGCAAACAACGCCTGCCTCACCTTACTGAGAATTGAATCCAGCACCTTTGTACTAACTCCTTTTCTGTTTAGTTTTTGAGACAGGATATTACTAAGTCACTAAGTTGCCCAGGCTTGGCATGAATTTACAGTCCTCTTGCCTCAGGCTCCTAAGAGCCAAAATCATATTCAGGCGCCACCATGCCTGGCTCCAGCATTTTTTTAATTAGAAAAAGAAATTTTTTCTTGAAAAAAAAGAAAGTGCTCTAAAGGATACAACTGCAAGTGTGTTTAGGTGTGTTAAGATAGAGGATCATATTACTAAGTTTTTGTTGGATCATTGAACACAACTGTTTGCAGTCTCACTGTTTGAATGTCTACTTTGTATGCTTTAATTCTGAACAATTATTTCTAAGATGACAATATGTAATCTACTAACTAGTGATTTCTTACTGGTTTTTTTATGAAATTCTGTATTACTTCTTCCCTTATACTGGTTTGTTTTTTTCTCCTTTAAATAAATTTTAAAAAACTATTCCCTGTTAGTACAAAAACCAAAAAAGATTTATTTTTAAAATGTAACTGTAAACCTGTATAATCTTGTCAATTAAAAAAATAAGAAAAATAAACCAGAAGAAAATACAGTTTTGCAAAGATAGAAAGTGAGAAAATAGAACACACTCCCAACACTAGCAAGAAATATCGCCTACCAGCTGTTTCTTGGCTGTGAAGGGCACGTAAGAGAAAGTCTTTAATGTACTGAAAATAAGTAGCCCAATCGGGCCTAGTGACACACACCTACAATCCCAGCACTAGGGAGGCTGGAGCAGGACTACCAGAAGTTTGGAGCCAGCCTGGGTTGCACAGTGAGTTCAAGGCCAGCCTGAACTGCTCCATCTCAAAACACCAAAAATTATAAAATAAAAATAAGCTGCCCAGTGATCCTAAGATCTCTAAAATCTTTGCCACAGTTGGAACGGTGGCTTGCAGGACATGGCTCATACCTTCTAGAAAGGTAGAAAGGAGAACTTTCTTCATGAAGTACTTATGGGAACTTGTCAGGGAGTGTGTGACCTCCGCTGCCTTCCTCTTCCTCAGCTGTCAAGGACTTCGTGATCGTACCCCTACACACCACTCCAGAGACCTCTGTAAAAGAGATTGATGAGCTGGCAGATGTCTACACGGATGTGCAGCGCCAATGGAAGGTGGCGGTGAGTCCTCTGTGCTTGTCACTGAGCAGAGGCAAAAACTGGCCTTTGAGCAGGACATGCATGCCCACCACTCCACAGCCTTATCTGGGCCTGTCAGCCTTGACAGCCCTCTTGCTAGCTGCCTGGGGCCATCTGTGTGGCCATCTCAGGACTCCTACCCTACGCCACTGTGATGGATGCCAATATCTATGGAGTGACTGGCTGGTGCCCGGACGCTTGACATGACAAGTGTATTTCAGCCCCCTGCTAATCCCATGAGGTAACTGCTTCCATCAGGCCCACTTTGCAGCTGGGAAAAACAAGGCAGAGTGAGGACAAGAGGCAAATTAAAGGCTCTCAAACTAGCTGATAAAGAAGAGCAGCGATGTCTGCCATCGCTGCAGCCTGCCTTACTTCCTCATATGGAAGACAGGGTTCTCCTGCTGTGGCCATGAGGTTGTGAGAGCACTCAGCAAATGCAGAAGAGCTCCACCGGGCTGTTTTTCCAAATTCCTCTCTTTTTCTTTTGAAATGTGCCTCCTGGCATACCCCTCCCCCTCCTCCTCGGTTCTGCTGTTCAATGTACAAAATGAGTGAAGGGTGAGTATAGTTGGCCAGAGTTGGGAAAAGAGAAAGACTTGTTCATTCATTCTAAAACTTATGAAATCATTCATTCATTCTAGAATATACTGAGCTTCTTTTGGGCATTAGTCCCTAAGCAGGTATCAGTGATCCAAGGGTGAACAGAGGAGAAATTCTTGGGGTGAAATACCTTTAGGGGTGACAGCAGACTTGGGTTTCACTCTTGACTTCACTACTTGAACCCCCAGTTGTGTGGCCTAGAAGAGGAAACCCACAATTAGTGGTTAACAGTTAATGGTTAATGGTAAATGGTTAATGGTTAATGGTTAATCTTGCTTTCTACCTTCTGGGACTATTGTAAGATCAGGTTTAAACTATCAACAGTATCAATGCGGGACCTGGCACTTGGTGGAAGCTCAGTATACTGAGCATGCATTAGTAGAAGCTGGATGGTCACTCAGGGGAGACATCCTGGCCTCCACCATACTTATCAGTCTCTGCGGAAGCTGTGATCACTGAGGCCAAGATGACATATTCTTGAAGAACATTCTGAAGCCAGCAACCACCCCAAGCAATAGCATAAACAAGGAAATCGAACATTTCCTCTGCTGTGGGGGAATGTTAAAATTCTGTTCCAGGAGCTCTCCAGGGAAAAATACTTCCAAGATAACCAGTTTCTGTTGGTGACCTGGGTGGGGATGGACAGTTTCCCTTGCGGCCCCTCCCACGAGAGCTTCTCCCACTTCCTAGGGACAAGATTCCCATAACCCTAAGCTTTCAATCTCAGAACAATAGGAGAGGGAGAGAGACTGCCAGTGCTGCCCGTACACCACCCAAATACATTTTTCCTTGTTGGAAACAAAGGTGTTGATTCATCCATATGTTTATACTCGCAGTAGTTTGAGGCAGAGACAAAAGATGTGAGGGATATCTTGGCTCGATTCTTATATTCCCACCTCCTCCTGCACACTGAATTATAGGGACGTGGTGACTAAGAACAGAACAGAGCAGTTGGAGCGAACACCCTCTTTTGTATTAAGAACACACTTTTCACCAGGCTGACTATGAAAAATTCCAGGCCAGGCGTGCTGGGGCTCACCAGTACTCAGTGAGGCTGAAGCAAGAAGATTGAGAGTGCAGGCCCAGCCTGGGGATTTAGCAACTTAATGAGACCCTGCCTCAAAATGAAACTTTAAAAAGAGATGGGGATATAGCTCTATGTGAAGGCCCTGGTTTTAATCTCTAGTGCAAAAACAGACCAAAAAACCAAACAAACAAATAAAAAACTTTATTTGTAGTCACCTGACAGCCTTCAAAGCTTGGAGTTGGTTGTAAACTGGCCTCTTCTAAAATTAAGAATAAAATGCAGACAGACCTTCTGTCAGTCTGCTAGGGCTGCCATGCCAAAGTGGCAAAGCCTAGGTGGATTAAAGGGTGCAAAGGCTTTTCTCACAGGTTTGTGGGCTGGAAGTCCAACCTCGAAGTGTGTGAGTAGGCTTGGTGCCTTATGGGTCTCTCATTGGCTGTAGATTGTCAGAAAATCCTCCTCTCTCCTCTCCCTTCTCTCCTCTCCTCCTTTGCCCATTCGTCTTCCTCCCCTTTGCATCATCCTCCTCTTTTTCTGCTCCTTCCTCTTCTTATTTCTCATCTTCTTTTCTCCTCCTCCTCTTCACCTCCTGTCTCTCTCCCTCTGTCCCTCCCTCTTTCTCTCCTTCTCCCTTTCTTCCTTCCCTCCTCTTTTCCTCTCTCTCTCTCTCTCTCTCTCTCTCTCTCTCTCTCTCTCTCTCTCTCTTTGGAGACAGGATCTGGGTGTCTTTCTGTGTAGCCCAGGCTGGCCCTAACATGTTTCTGCCAGCTTGAATCACTGGTAGTACATGTATGACTGTCTCACCCTAGCTTATACCTCCCTATTGGACTGTCCCATGCTGCCCAAAGGGACTGTCATGCATGGACCACTGGTGGTTCAAGCTGACAGGAGCAAAACACATTCAAATCAGAGCTGGCCAGCAGCAAGCAACACAAATCATGGCCCTTTCATGATTGTGTTGAACTCACCACCCTCCTGCCTCAGCCTCCTGAGGGCCAGGACTAGAAGAGTACACCTCCACACCCAACTAGACGGACATTCTCTTATGATAGCCTCACATCACCTTCTTTTTGTGCCACTCTGTGTCCTAATCTCCCTTTTCTCTTTTATCCTGTGGTGCTGGGGGTGGAACCTGGGACCTTGCACTGGTGTGTGTTCTACCACTGAGCTCATCTCCAGCCCCTCCTGTTTTGATAAGGACACCTGTCCTATTGGGTTAGAGCTCACCCACCTGAGGTCACTTTACCTTAATTTCCTCCTGAAGGACCCTATCTTCAAATACAGTTATATTCTACAATATAATACAGTACTGGAGGTAGGACCCTAACACATGAATTCAAGAGAGGAGTACCATTCAATAATAAAAGGCCCCTTTACTTCCTGGGCATGGGAGGTGGAGTCATGGCTGAAGTCCTGAGAGAAAGCTGTATACACAAGTATCTCCCAGTGACAGTCCCAAAACATGTCTTTCAGAATTTCATTTTCATGGGTGACTTCAACGCTGGCTGCAGCTATGTCCCCAAGAAGGCCTGGAAGAACATTCGCTTGAGGACTGACCCCAAGTTTGTATGGCTGATTGCAGATGATGAGGACACCACGGTCAAAAAGAGCACCAGCTGTGCCTATGACAGGTAGGCACCACCTCTTTAGGGCTGCTGGCCACACGGAACCTCCAGGGGGGCGAAGCTGAGGCCACCTCAAAGGACAGCACCAACTGCCTTTCAAGGCATCTGCATCAGGGACCTCACAGTGTAGAGCTGCATAACCCAAGGTGGGAGCCCTGGACACCAGAGCTTAGCAGTGGCCAGCACTGATGTCAAACGGCCTAGAGTCAGATCCTGGCTCTGCCACATACTATGTCTGTTATAAGACATATTCGCTCCTTGCTTTAAACTGGAGACTGTACAACAACCTGCCTTGGAGATATGATGAGGGTTAAATGAAGTAATATATGAAAGAGTTTTCCGGCGATGAAAGGGAGAATATAAAGTAAAAATAGCCTTTATTCCAAGGATGTGGAGAGAACTCCATGACCGCCAGTGGCCTGGCCTTCTCTGCCAGAAACACGGGGCATGGGATGTACATATAGTTTCCAACTGGGGTAGGGCGTAGGGCGGGCTTTGCTGATGCAGGAGCAGTCGATTGGAATTCTCTTTGCGTGCAAACAGAAGCTGGGGAAGAAGCAGGAAGTGGTAGGCATTCCCGCTTTCGCCTTCCACCTCATTAGACCACCGCTGTAATTTCTACTGAGGCAAAAACCTTTCACTATATATGCTACATAAACTGCCATATAGAAAGCAGCTAGCACACTGAATGTTTGGCAAGGGCTCAATACATTCGTGGACCATTATCTCTTCTCTCAAAATGATGTACCGTTGCTTATTTACCCAGTCCCCATTGCTTACTATCACAGGTTTGCTGTTATAAACACTGTTGAAAGGAACATCCCCTGTGTATTTTTGGCAAATATTTATTATTTCCTCTAGGTACAACCATAAAAATGAGAGCAGTTAATGCAAGGTTATTTACACTTTCAAAGCTTCTGCTAACCATTCCTAAATTTAATGATACATTTAAATAATAGCATTCCCTTGTGCTTTTCAAGTCTCACTGTGGGGTTTCCAAACACTTTCACTTTTGCTCCTTCAATCAGGAAGGAAGTGGTGGGAGTCAGCAGCACAGAGACCACAGGCAGAGCAGCCGTGGGAGCCCAGCCCCTGGGTGGCCACGGCTCCCAGCTCAGCCTGCTGTGGCTGCAGAACAGCTGGCCTCCTCCCTGCTTGCCCTGGAGGTCTGGCTTTCATTTCCATCCTCTGGCCTCCTTTGTTCCTCTTGGGACTTTCAGAGCTGGAGTTTCCTTTGCAGATGTCACTGCTCTAAGTCTTGAAAGTGGAAGCCCAGGGTAGGAAGTTACAGGAGGCCCCCTTCACTCTCACACCAAAGGCCTCCAGTCTCATGAGAGACACCATTTGGTCCTGGCACTTTCGTCTTGGACAAGTTCAGTCCCTTCTCCAGCCACCTTGTTCCCCCTGCAAACAAAGGAAAAGAATGATGTGAAGAACAGCTAATCACAAGGAGAGATGCCCATGACAGAACAGGTTAAGAATGCATTCCCTGGTTCTGTAACTGTTAGATGCCAAAGGATGATGACATTACATAGGATTTTTTAAAGACTAGCTTCTTATTTTAATGCTCTAAATTTTCTGCATTCCACAACAATATATATAATTATTGGGATGTACCAATGATATTTTAAAAATGGACCTAGGCAAGATGATTGTAATTCTAGTCCAAATATTTATTGAGCATCCCCATATGCTGAGTGCTCGTGGACCCAGAAGACCTCAGGCCCTAACCTGGCCTGGGAAAATGTAGCCAGGAAGAGACCCATGCCCAGGCTGGAGAAGTCAGAAACCAAGGAGCCTTAAATATATTGCTTTTTGCTTTCTCAGTCTCAAAAATGGCTTTCACAAGTCTCCAAATTGATGTGAAGAAGAGCTTACATTATGGGCTGAACAAAAAAGAGCCCCAGGCCGTGGTGTGGCTGAGCAGTATGTGGTTGGTCAGTATGCTTGAGGCCTTCGGCTCAACCCTCAGCACTGCAAAACAAAACAGCAGTGACAAAGAACAAGCCATGTGGTGGCAGTAACAAACTCAGAATTAGAAAAACTCAGGACAGAGGCATAGAAAGGCAGGATGTTAAGTGTATAGGATCGATAACCATATTACTAAGCTTTTGTTGGATAGTTGAACAGAACTGTTTGCAGTCTCGCTTTTGAATGTCCACTTTGTATGCTTTACTTTTGTGACTTGAACAACTATTTGTAAAAGGACAATATGTAATTATCAACTAGTGATTTCTTACCGTTTATTTTTTCTTTGAAATTATGTATTATTTCTACCCTTTTTCAGTTTTGTTTATTCTTTCTTTAAATTAAAAAAAAAAGAAAGGCAGTGTGCCCAACTTTGCTTGTCTCAGACAGGCATCCACCAAGTGAACCCTACCTCCTTGTCTCCTGAGCTACGTTAGAGTCCATTTCCAAAACTCATCTGGCTGTCATATTGCAGTGGTGTCACTACTACCAAGCATCTGTACTGTGATTTTTTTTCCTATTTTTTTAAACTACTAATTTTTCACTGAAGTAAATTAATTGTTAAAGCATAACACTATGATAAGAAAACAGCATTATAGCCAGGCATGGTGGTACACACTTGTAATCCGAGTATTCTGGGAGGCCAAGGCAAAAAGAGCACAAGTTTCAGGCCAGGCTGGAACATAGAAAGACTCTGTCTCAAAAATCAAATAAATGGCATCACTTGTCATAAAGAAATTAAAAAGAAGCCCAGTGAAAACTACCGAGTTCTTCATTATTTTTCTTGCCTGCAGGGTGCTTGCTCTGTCTTTATCAAAATGAAAGATTAGAGAGCTACTAAAGATAAGAGAATTTCTCCATAATCTAACCGGGGACCTGAGAAAGCATCAGAAGTGTAGCAATGTTGTCAGTGTGTATGTCATTACGGTATGGGACAGCGTCTGTGTGCTGTCTGACATCTGCTCTCCCTCCTCCTTCACCATACGGTGAAACTGCCCTGTCCCCACAGGGTCACAGCAGCCTGTATTCTCCTTTGCAATTGTAGGAACTGTCCCCTTGGTTGCCAGCTGGAATCAGACAAGGACTTGGAACCCATATGAAAGAGCCAGGCTGTCAGTCATTTCCAGATATCAAACACAGGCCTTGGTTTGATTTTGGGAAGTCAATGGTGTGGATTAACACAACTGTCTTTCCTCTCCTTACTCTAGGATTGTGCTTCGAGGACAAGAGATTGTCAACTCTGTAGTTCCCAACTCAAATGGTGTCTTTGACTTCCAGAAAGCTTATCAGTTGTCTGAAGAGCAGGTAAGGCTGCCATCTTGTCTTTCTGGGCCCCCCTAAGGTGAGCTGCTGTCACCTTTTGAGGTCAACATGGAAGACCCCACACCAGACACTGAACCTTGAGTCAATAACCATTAACTATGTCTCTGCATTTTGAGATCCTGCCAAAATTTCTTTCCTTTCCTTTTTCTTACTTTTTTTTTAAAGACAGGGTCTCGTTATGTAGTCTAGGCTACCCTTGAACTTGCTTTGTTCTGGCTTCAAATTCATGATTCTCCTGCCTGAACCTCCAAAGTGCTAGGATTATAAGCATATACCACTGCACCTAGCCCTTACCAAAATATATGATTGAGTTGGGCCAAGGATAATCCTCACTAGTCTACGGAGTGACTTCAAGCATTTCATCCTCTCTCCTTGTTCCTGAATTTTCTCATCACTAAAATGATGACATGTCTCAGACATCTCCTAAATCCAGATCTATCTACCCTTCTCCTTACAGGCTTTGGAAGTCAGCGACCACTTTCCAGTTGAATTTAAACTACAGTCTGAAAGAGCCTTCACCAACAACAAAAAATCTGTTTCTCTGAAGAAGAAAAAAAAGGCCAATCGTTCTTAGATACAAGGGCACCATTTTATCAACCATCTCCTGCAACTGGCTCCAACAGTATGAGCTGCTCCCTGTACTCTGAGAAAAGAAAACCAGTCCAGCTGCTTTTATTTTCTACTTGAGTTAATTCTGCCTGAGCTAAGCTAGAAGGAGCGTCTTCTGTTATCTCTTCCCAGCTTCTACTGTCTCTGGACTGCCCAAAAGGAAACGTTGGCTTTCTCAGTCCAAAAAGAAGGCCTTCGTGCTGGGAGCTAGAGCCCCACATCCCTGGGTATACTAGCTCCCTCCCTACTACCTCTCCAACACAGGAGAGGCTGCAGAGGACCAGCATCAGCCTCCAGTCCTTGCAAGAGGAGCTCATTCCCAAAAATGAGCAGAAACACCAGGCCCCAGCTGCCCCGCCAATGGTGAACTGTTGTAACTCTGCCTCTTCAGTCTGAGGCCAGGCCACCACCAGAGCTCACACCAATGGAAGGAGACAAGGAGACGGCTTACAGCTGGCCTGCCTGTCTCCAAATTGTCCTCAGCCAGCCAGGCCAGTAACCACCAGTGTAGTGTCATCCTGTGATGCTCCATTCTGACCACTCCCACCCCTGCCTAGGACCCCTCAGGACTCTGTCACCATGAATGGCTTCGCTGCCTGGCAGCTCACCCTATCCTTGCCAGCAGGACCACCTCTCCCAGCCCCTCCCAGGTCTTCCCTCCCTGGGGCTTTGGCTCCACCCCATGCCCGACTCTGTCCTCGAGCCTGGACTAAACCATTTTCTATGCCTGCACTGCAACACTGACCACATTTAACTAGTCGTAGAGCTGGTACTAGAGCTCCTTAAAGGTTATAATGTGACAAAGGCTCCACTAACTGGCTGAGACCAAAAGATTTTATTTTTCTGCAACTTCTGTGCATCCAGCCACACAGCATCACTTTGCCCCCTACAATGTGTCCATTTTTGTGTATTTTGTTGTTTTCCCTGATATTGCTTCTTGACTCAGGTAGTGCATGAACATGGTTTAAATATACACACAGTACTCAAGAAGCAGCAGCAAAAAAGAATACCGCACCCTTGCATTTCTTCTAGTTTCCTGTCTCAGAGAGAGCCCCTCTCCCCAGCTTGTGGTGTTCCATAGAAAACCTGTGCATACATGAGTACCATAGGCAACCCTGAAAAATACAAAGTCTGGCATACTGTGTGTATGATTCCACTTCTTGATTTTTTTGTTTGTTCGTTCATTCGTTTTTTTCAGGGACAGGGTCATTGTGATGACTGGAACTTCTGCCAATTAAGCTGCACCTCTTAAAGGTCCCATTGTCTCCTAATAGCACTAGGAGCTGGGGACCAAGTTTTTAACCATGATCTGTTGGAGGAGATTCCAGATCCCAACAGTAACAGCCTGATGTCTGCAATTATATAGCCTCTGACTGAAGGAATAAAATCCAAAGAGCTCTGAATAAGCTGGAGAAACCATCTTCCCCAAACATTCATTTCACCTCTGAGATTTCATTGATGGTTTTTGCCCCGTTCATCTCCAGGATTTTAGGAGATGGCCAGGGTGTTAAGAGTTCTCTCACCCCTCTTTGAAGGTAGGACTCACTGTCCCAGAAAACCTTCCAGTTTCCAAGGCCCCTTTGTTTATCCAGCTCATTTACAAATGAGCTTGGTTATTCTTTTTTTCCCCAAAGCACTGAAATCCCCACCAGCCAACATGGCAAGAGCTCTGGCCACAGGGCTTGGAACCTTGCCGAGTGAGGTAGCATGGAGAAGGTGACATGTCACTAAATGCCCATGGCTGTTACTTGAAGTCAGCATAACCTGATGCCCTGTGGCTTCCTCCTCAATAAAGCAAACTGCACCTCTCCTCCCCAGGCATCTGCCACCTGTTATTCTGGCAGACTGTGGCAAGCTAGAGGCACATTACGGGATTGTCCTCAGTGCTCATAACCTGGTATAGCTACAAACCTGCCACACTGATGGGTCTGGCCATTAAGAAACACTGGTGTTTGGGGGAGAGGGCTATGCCCTGGTCACACTCATCCTCTAAGCACTGGCTTTGTCCTGAGGTCCTGAAACTTAGCATACACCCCAAGCTCTGGAAACTAGTTTTCATGATAACTCCTAGCCTCTAGATGCCTGAGTCTGTCTCAACAGAGCTAGACCAGAGCCCAGGTACTTGCTTTTTTAACAAGCACCCTCATCCAACTCATGTTTGGGTGTGTTCAAGGAAGATAAACTGAAGATCGGACTTTGAATCCACTTTCCCAACCATTCTTAGTGAGAAGATGGGTAGTATGGTGACTTTCTTTCTTTCTTTCTTTCTTTCTTTCTTGTTATTCTTGTTTTGAGATAGGGTCTCAGTGTGTAACTCAGGCTGCTTTTAAACTCACTGTGTAGCCTTGACTGGCCTCAAACTCACAGTAATTCTCCTGCCTCAGCCTCCTGATTTCTGGGTTTACAGATAATGCACTGCCATAGCTGGCAGCATCGTGACTTTAGGCTCACGTCTGTGTCTGTTAGCTGCTCTGGAGTAGGCTGGCTACTTACCTTCAGTTTCCATGTTTGCAAATGATCGTAAGAGAATCTACCTTATAGGGAAAGTTTAAGTCAGGGGTGGATGTAAATCTTTGAATGCCTATTACCTAGTGAATCCTCAATAAATGGAAGCATATTTTTACCTATAAGACTTGCTGTGTCATGAATGGGCAGCTTTAAACCTTTGGGAACATACCACTCTCCCTGAATTACCTAAAATGAATCGTTGCTGTGTCAGGGTTCCACCACTTTGTCATTTACCGCAGCAAGTATTTTATTAAATGAGCTTTGAGAAGTGGACACACCCTAATTTTAATCCTTGTTTCGTCCTCTACTGCACCTCTTCCTGTCCCATCCCTTTCTTGGCTCCAACAGAGAAACCCTCCCAAGTGACCTTCACCCTGTTCCTTCTCTCTCCCTTCTCTGAGTCAGCAACTATGGCTCCTGTCTCTCCTTCACTCTGGAGAAGACAAGTATAAAGGTGTTAGAGCATTCTGGTGCAATAGAGAAGTAAAAGTACAACATGAATGGGTTTATTGAGTTGAAGACATGGAAAGGAGGACCCAACCCATGGTGGATGGGCTGTCTCCTCCGACCCACCTGATAGAGAGGCAGAGAGTTTTATGACCTCTGATCGGAAGCGTTGCATGGGGCGGGCATTGATGATTTGTGAGGAACTGATTGGAATTCTGTGTGTGTAAACAGGAAGGGGAGTTGCAATTAGGGCTGAAGAAGAAGCAGGAAGTGATAAGCATTCCTGTTTTGGCCTTCTGCCATGTTAGACCACTGCCATAATTGTGCAGTAATTTATATTAGGACAAGACCCTTTCGAAAAGGCAGTTGCCAGAAAAAGGGCACAAGAAACAAAAAGGATCACTTTGTGCTCAACATGGCCTAAATAATTTATTGCAAGGAGAACATTTTAGCCCTGTGGAGTTATGTTCAAGTGCCCACCAGCTGGGTGAAGAAGAAAGGATGAGAATGGAGGAAGGAGGAGGTTACTAGTGACGACTATCACACATTTTTACAGCAGCCTTCTGGAAATATGGATGACAGTGGCTTTTTCTCTATTCAGGTTATAAGCAATGCCTTGAAAGTTTGAGGTTCAGAACTAATCCTGTTCAACAGTCCAGAGTATCAGAGGCTCAGGATTGATCCTCTAAATGAAAACTCATTTATATATAACTATAAAGAACACTGATTTACAATTGGAAAAACAGGGCCAGGGGTTTAGCTCAGCGGCGTAAGTGCCAGCTTGGCAAACACAAAGTTGTGAGTTCAATCTCCGGTACAAAAAAAAAAAAAAAATTAGAAAAACAGAGACAAGTCATAAAACTCTCTGCCTCTCTATCAAGTGGGTCGGAGGAGACAGCCCATCCACCATGGGTTGGGTCCTCCTTTCCATGTCTTCAACTCAATAAACCCGTTCATGTTGTACTTTTACTTCTCTATTGCACCAGAATGCTCTAACACCTTTATACTTGTCTTCTCTTTATACCTTTATACTTGTCTTGTCTCTTTATACCTTTATACTTGTCTTCTCTTCTCTCTTGACAGATCCAGAATAAATATCAGATACATACCTTGCACTTTTCTTGGCTCAGTTACAACAGGAAGGTTATTCTATCTTTGTCCTTATGGATAATCTGCCAGATTGTGAAGCTGACCAGCTTCTCCAGGTGATCAGGGCCCAACAGATGCATCAACCAAAACTCACTGGAGAAGAATTAGCACAACTAAAATTGCAGAGAGTCCTTAAAACAGACCTGGAATAAGTCTTAGAAGGAAGCGATGGGTTGGAAATACTAGGTGAAGAAAAGGAGGGTTTTCAGAGGGCGCTAGCACTAAACCATCAGGAAATTGACATGAAAGATGAAGAAGCAGACCATCTTTGCAGGGCTATTCAGCTCAGTATGCAAGGCAGTCCCAGAAAAGTATCTCAAGATGCTGCACAGATATCAGGTACAACTCTTACGTTTGAAGAGCTGCAAAGGAGAGGAGAAGCCTACTTTGAAAAGCAGCAGCAGGCAGATCCGTCAAGACAGGCTTCACAGCCACAAAAAAAGGCCAACCACAAATTCAGGAGCACTTTGACATGATCCAGGTGATTCTATGAGTGAAGAAGACGTGCTTCAGGCAGCCGTGACCATGTCTTTAGAAACTGTTACGAAAATGGAAGGGAAAAAATAATATCTTTTAAAATCATTTACACATTCAAGCTTTCCAACATTGTCCTTTGTGATTACAGCATAGGTTCCATTTTGGTAATATATCAAAGAGAACAGTGTGCATCAGAGAAAATGTTTAGGTGGCTTGCAAACAAAATGAATAAGTAGAAAATCTGTCAGTTGTAAGACTAAATAATAATCCTCTAAAAACTAACCAAAGAGGCATTCAGCAATTAAAGAAATTTAAATAGTCTTCTAAAACAAAAAGGAAATCGCCAAACCAGGGAAGGGCAACAAACTGGTGGTCCCAGAATGAGAAAAGGCACTGGACCCAGGCAGGTGTGCAGGTGGAAAACAGAATCCCTGAGAGAGGCTCACACTTGCACCAGTGGCCCATTCTCCTAGAGAACCTGAAGGAGATGAAATTCCTGCATAATCCCTCAGGCTCCCTGAACAGTTCTGAAGGAGCCAGCATTCCCACGCCATGAACCCACAGGTCACATTTTCAAAGAGTAGCTCACCACAGTCCAGTGAAGAGAATGGAAAGAAGCACAAATATGTGCGTGTAAAAACAGGCACATGCACACACGCTTGCACCTACATGTACACACACCTCTTTCCCCAAGGTCCCTTTTCCTGGCACACATTCTTCAAGCTGCTTAGCTTCCCAGTGGGTGGCATCACCTATTTCCTGCCGGCTCTCAGGTCCCTGACAGAAGCAAGATATATTCTTCATTGGTGAAAACTTCTGTGGCCCCTCTCTTCCCTGAGAACTTTTTACTTTCCGCACCAAATACCCTGGGAGCTTCATTTTGTTTTTCTGAGTTATTTTCTTTGAGATTCCTACATGTTTTGCGAGCTTTTCATCAATTCATAGAGATTAAGGTAGAAATAGCCTTAAAGACAAACATAGCCAATAAAAGCTGCTGTTTGTAAGGCCTGCTCTGGTCCAGATCGTGTTCTAAGAAGGCTCGGCCTGTACTGTCTCACGGAGTCCCAACCACAGTCCTCAGAGCTGGGGTCTGATGCCATCCCTGTTCTATACAGAGGAGAGTGAGGCCTGAGTTCCCACAGCTAGTGAGTTGTGGGGTCCTGCTGATCCACCCATCAGACTTGGTGGGCCCACAGTAATCTTAAAGTTAAAGAAATGATAGCTTTTAGTTGAAGAAAAATCTTAATGTGTACTATTTATATGTTTTCTTTATAACAAGACAGTTATAAAATACAATTTTTCATATTTTTTGATGGAGAAAGGGACTTGTGAAAAGCACTAGAGCCCACAAAAATCCATAGTGGGTGGTGGTAGAGACAGAATTCAAACCTTGCCTGTCTGCTCAAAGTCCTCCTTCATCTATTCTAGCCCCATTCCACTGGTGAGGAAATTGAAGGCCAACACAATGTAGCAGAACCACAGAATGGTTTCCGGTGGGTCAATCACCATAGCATGCGGTCTGGTAACACCACCTGGTGGCCTTTCAAGGAACTTCCCTTTGGTCAGTGGGAAACACACAAGACACAGGTCAAAAATAGATACTTGCTGGAAGTAGCCAGGAACCCATCGTCTGCCCTTGGGCCCCACACATAGCAATGAGTACGCAGGCCAGGGACCTCCTCTGCTATTGGTAACTCACACGGGGTGTGTGCTACTGTGTGTGCACGTATGTGTGTGCACACATACGCATACACATGCTCACACACAGAACTTCCCACGTCCCTCTTCCAGGGTAGCAGTAACTCCAGAGTTAATGCTGGTAAAGTGTTTAAAATCAGCCCTGTCCACTATAAACACATTGTGAGCCAATGGGTATTTTGAAATCTAGCAGACATGTTTTTTAATAGTTTAAAAAAATAAGTGAAATTTTAATATTTTTATAAATTTAACCTAGGGATTGGCAAACTACAGCTTGAGAATCAAAGCTAACCCATCTATCTTTTTTAAATAAAATTCTATTGGAACACAGTCCATTTGTTTTTGCTGTGTATGTGACTGCTTTTGCACTGTAACCACACAATTGAATAGTTGCGTGATTGAGACCAGATGGACCACAAAGCTGAAGATATTCACTATCTAGCCAGGGAAAATGTTAACCCGATTTAACATCATCTACCCAAATATAGACACTTAAATATGAAATTCAATTTAAAATTTATTAATAAGATATTTTACCACCCATGAAATTCAATTTAAAATTTATTAATAAGGTATTTTACAGGCAGGCACATGTCCATAATCCCAGGACTTTAGGGAGCTGAAGCAGGATGATCCTGAGAACCCAAGAACATCCTGGGTAACTTAGTAATTTAGAAAGATCCTGTCGCAAAATACAAAAGTAAAAAGGACTGGCGGTGTAGTTCAGGATGAAAGTGCAGGGTTCCATCCTCAGTATCACAAAAAAATAAAAAATAAATGTACCTTTTTGTGTCACATTAAATCTTTGATATTGGGGCTGGGGATTTAGCTCAGCAGCATAAGCGCCTGCCTCTCAAGCAGGCAGTCATGAGTTCGATCCCCGGTACCAATAAAAAGGGAAAAGACCAAAAAAAAAAAAAAAATCTTTGATATTGAGTATTTCTTTTACATTCAGAGCACTTCTCAGTGTGATATGACACATTTAAGTGCTTAATGAAATGTGTGGCTTGTGTCTGCCGAATTAGGGAGTATGACTTTAGAAAAATGCCTACACATAGCACTCAAGCATTTGCCATTAAATACATAAATAAGCTCCCCCTAAGACTGAGCCCAGGGACTCACACATGCTAGGCAGGTGCTCTACTGCTGAGCTACATTCTCAGCCCTTTTTATTTTTTAAAACAGGGTCTTTGTAATTCCAGCCAGGCCTGGAATTTGTGATCCTTCTACCTCTCCCTTCCAAGTTACAGGTGTTACAGGCGTGTGCCGCTGTACCTAGCTTCACCAGCCCTTCTTAACAGGCTTGCTAGAGAGAATTAAGTCCTCAGGACAGCCACGGGATACACGAGACACCGTGGCAGACATGAGCTAGCTGTTAGGAAGCCTTTCTCCTGCCAGAGCACAGGTTCTAGGGCACAGTTCAGCCTCCTCCCACCTGGAAGTCATGAGACTTATTCTCACCAATAGAATGTGAAAGGAAGTGATGCATGCTGGCTCCAGGCAAAGGCAGTTAGCAGTGAGTGTGTAGCCTTTAGACCCCCTGCCTCTCTTCCTTTGTCCTCTTATTAGATACAGAGGACTCTGGGAAAGACTCTGAGCTCTTAGGTGATGATAGAGCCTTCAAATAAGGGAAGCCTGTCCTCCACAGAAGCATGCACAAGGTTGTCCACTGAACACCAGCCGAGACTGTGGAAGAAGTACATCTTTATTGCATAAGCAACAAGGTTTTAGGGGTTGTTACAGAGAGAGTTACTGACTAACATAAACTCCTAGGAGTAACTAAGAAGCAGTGAGTAAAAGTGAAATGACTTCTTACTCAAACTGTGGGATACACTGGAACCAAGAAACTCTGCTATGGACCCTTCAATAGAACCTAGAGAAATGAAAGATAGGGAGCTATTCATCATGCTTAGCTCCCTGAGATTCAGCGAGCCTCTCTCTGCCTGGGAGCTCCACTGTCTCCACGAGGAAGGAGTGCCTCCAGGTGACAGTGAGGTAGGGGCAGCTCTGCGAGTAGTAGGGATCTGTGAGTACACAGAGGAGTCCCAGGGCGGGCCCAGCACATCCCAAGTTTAGGCCCGCATTAGCTGCTCCTTGGTGGTGAACTACACTCAGTCGAGAAGGCTGGGCTCCACGGAACACAGAGGAGCATGGGCATCTGGCAGTGCATCCCTGCAGCATCCAGAGGGATCCTGAGGAAAGGAAGGGAGCTGCCACGGGCCCCGGAAAGTTCACATGAGCTGGTCAAGTTCACACTGTGGAACGTGGAAAACGTTATTTTTAATGTAAAATGTCTTTGTGATGGATCCTGGCATAAGTTGGCCTCCTGGAGTCCTTCATGGCATCCCCTGGAACACAGAGGTTTGAATGAGCAAAGGGCTCAGGATTAGCAGGGTTTACTGCTACAGCTAGTGGACTAGGAAAATACTTCTGTCACCTAGGGAAAGCTGCTACCTTCCTACATCTTCTGTTTCTATCTTAGGGCCCCCATGCCTCCCTATGATCTAACAGCTATAGTGTAGTGCCCAGAATAGTACAGGAATCTTGAGACCTTAAATTGTTACCATGACCAGGATCAGTGCTGATGGGCAGCATTTATGAAAATATTACAGTGTTCAGCGTATGTAGTACCATATGACTTACTGTTCTTCCCCAAAGTGAAAATGGCCATGAAAGGCAAACATTTTGAATCAGTTCAGGACACTGAGGTAGTCACAACTAAAGATACTCAATAAAAAGAACTTCCAGAACTGCTTCAGAAAGTGACGCCAACAGTGGGATTAAGTGTACTTGAAGTTAGGTGGGATGTTTTAAGGGGAGGAGGGCAATGGGTGGTACCTAAACTGAGACTCCCCCTGCAGACACGGGCACTTGGCCTTTCCTGCAAGAAGCCTGCATAGGCAATGCTGCTCAGGACCCTGCCCACGTGTCCCCGGCAGGCCTTCCTCAATGGCCCATCCTCCAGAGCAACCCCTCAGTCACAGGGCCTTGTTCTGATTTATCTCCTCCTGCAGCCTTGACACTCAAAATAGGGTCCATGGCCAGCAGCTCAGCAGCACCTGGCACTTGTTGGAAATGCAGGATTTTCTGCCCACCAGCTGCTGGAGCCACCTGCTAGAGGAGCAGGACCTGCTGGAGGAGCAGGACCTGCTGGAGGAGCAGAACATGCCTTTCCCTGAGCCCACTAATTGCTGCACCCAGCACACACTGAAAACCACATGTGGGCTACTTCCTAACACTACATCCTATATCTGCTTGTTTGTTGTCTGCCTCTGTGAGGGTGGGGACCATTTCTGTCTTGTTCTCTGGAGTTATCAGTCCCCAAGAACTGAAGTACCTGGCACATATCATCTGTTCAATATATGTTTGTTGAATGAATGTATGGATCAGAATTCAAACCCAGGCCTCCTAATTTCAAGTTAAACCCTTCTTACGAACTTGTCTGTCCACTAACTCATGGGGGAAGGGAGGCTCAGTGGTAATTCAGTAACCCCAGCTCCCCCTCCAGGCTGTTAAATGAAACTGTACCTGTCCATCACTCCACCTCACCTGCACTGTAAGGATAAATTCTGCTCTGGTTTCTTTCTCACCCAATTTCCTCCAAAACTCTAACATAAAAGGTGAGTCCTGATCATTTTTCAGATGTGAAAACTGAGGGCCAAAGAAGTTAAGATTCTTGCCTGAGATCACATAATTCAGGGGTGAACCAGTAGCACCAGTACCTTGTGGGAAGCCCTGTAATTGGCTGCCACCTTATATCTGCAGGCCACACCATCTTAACTCCCCCTAGGAGTTAAGTTTGGTAGGTAAGCAGCACCTTGCCTAGCTTGTTTGGCCTATTCAGGGATTATGCTTATGAGCCTACATGCAGGAAATTTGAAAATTTGATTTAACCTATAACCCTCAGTCTTGCCACTGTTACTAAGTTACCTGCTAATGTCTCAGAACCCAACTCCCTCCTCCCCAGTACCCTATATATTTGTTACTTTTTCCTTGAATAAATGAGACTTGTTCGGACTTCTGTCTTGTCTCCATTCTTTGCGTCTCTTGTCCTCTTTCATCCCCACTCCCCCTCTAGGGTCTCCGTGGACTTACGCATAGGCCAGGACAGTACCTGAACTCAGGTCCCTTGATTCCAAACCTCTATCCTAAGATCATGAATCTGTGCATTTGACCATAGCCATTGAGCGCCACCCCAAGCTGGGAGATGAGGCAGCATTAATAAGGTAAACTGAGAAGGCCTGGGACTCCAAGGCCTCCCCAGGCCAGAGAGACAAGCATAGATGTTGATTCAGTGAGCCCAGGCTCACAGAGGTGCTCTCAGTGGTGATGAGCAGTTGGGCCTGGCAGAGGGAGAGCATTCCCAGTGGACAGCAGGCCCAGCTTGTGTACCCCTGGGAAGGCGCCTGCCTGCCTGGGAACGGGGAGCCCATTCAGTGTGCGAGGAGAGAGGGCTGGAGAAGGTTGAGGCTGGGGATGGTGGCCACCACCTGCCCAATGCCTGGATGGCCTTACCCAAGTGCCAGCCATATTCCCAAGATGACACGATTGGGTACGGGTACTTCTCCTTTGGTGCCTGCTGATGCCGCTCCCGGAGGTACCTGGCCCGGCCTTGGCCATCGTGGGAGATGCCTTGAAAGAGGAGCTGCAGGGTGCTCAGGGGGACCTGCCGCATGTGTAAGCCCACTGGCCTGCTCTGGCCCGCAGGCCTTGGAGTGGCTTCCCTGGCCTCCCACACTCTGTCTCTCTGGGGTGGGCAACTCTGGACACCCACTGTCCTCAACAGCTGCTGCTGAACCCTCTGAGTCTCCAGCGGTCCAGCTAGGCTCTCCTTGCTGACAGGGAAGTTGGTGGCAGGCCTTGGAGCCACTGCTGAGCCTGCCCTGAAATAGACCGCCTGGGGCTGCTTTCTGACTTTGGGCCCCTCCTTCAGGTACTTGTGGCCATAGCGGATAGTCCAGGCAGCCCGGGCGGCTTTCTCCTTCTGGATGTGCTCCCGCCAGCAGGCTTGGCTCTGGGAGGTGAACAGTTCCCTCATGGCTGGGAAGAGAAAAATTCCTTCTATACCTCTGCCATCTGTGTTTAGATGGTTGGTGTTCGTCTCCAAGGAAACATGTAGCCAATGAGGGCCCAGTTGCCAAGGCCCTGCCAGAGGTAAGGGGCTGGACTGCAGAGGGGCTGGAGCTACCTACAGATAGGACAGACCAGTCTGGAAATGGAACTAGAACCCAGCCACAACCCACCTGGACCTCCACAACCTCTATTCCATACAGTGAACCCCAATATATACATACTATGAGCCAGGCACCCAGAGAGGTTCAATCGCTTTGGGTTGCCATGGCAACTGTGGGGCTTGCTCCTCTGATGCTCAGCTCTGTCACTGTCCACCTGAGTGGCCTCTTCTGTACCCAGAAGGCAAGAGGAGCATCCCTTGGTACTGGGCAAACAGCATTTGACCATGCATAAACTGCTTGGCACTGAGGCTGGCAAAGGGGTACTGACCACCAGTTACCATCTAATACACACCTGCCAGGTACCACAGCCCCCAACCACCTCCTCATTCTGGGGTGCTTGTGCCTCCTTCCATCTGTGAGGAGGAGGCAGGGGAACACTGCAACACCCCAGGACACCTCCTGGGTGCCAGGCCCTGGACTGGCAGTTTCAGGCTTTATCCTACTTAACTCTCACAGTAATCTGCAAACAGGCTGGCTGTCATCACTTTTCAGAAGAGGAAAATAGACTCGGAAAGGTCCAGTGATTGTAGTATCCCTGAGTCCCAGACAGGAAACTCCCTGGGAGAGCGGCAAGCTCGGAGAGAAGGCAGGCTGACTTCAGCCTCACACCCCTGCCTCGCTGACACTGATGGGGTTCTCCTGCAGTAAGAGGGAGGCTACCCCTCAGTGCTCCAAAGCCGCTCATCTTTCACTCTGCTGGGTGTGGTCTCCTTACAGGGGGCAAAGCCCACATGCTTCCTGCCCTCCAGGCTTCACAGTCCAGGAGCCAGAGTCATAACCAGGTGTGTGTGCAGGTGGGGGGGGGGGCGGCAGGGATGGCTTCCTGCAAGACATGCCCTTTGACTAAGCCCTGAACTATGAACACAGGTTAGCTGGGCAGAATGGGGTCAAACACTACAGACTGCTCCCCCAAGGCAAGAGAGGCCACAACTGCGGGCTGCCCTCCATGTCTCCACCTTCCCAGTGGTGAGATGAGGGCCAGGAGGGAGCTTGGGACATCTGGAAGGATTAAGCGCAGAGTGTGACAGCCTGGGCCTGGGACAGCTCCACTCCCCCTGAGCACTCACAGTGACCACTGACTGACCTTTCAAGGCCAAGCCCCTGACCAGGCAATAAATCCAGTTGTTCCCTCCCCACCAAGGGCCGACTCGCTGCTGGGTGCTGTGAGTGAACAAAGCACAGAACGTCCCACTGCAGAGCATGTGCTTCAGCCCTGCCTTGAGGCCACCAGGTCTGCAACCAAGGGCATCTTATGGTAGTGCCTGGCAATCAGTAGGAATGCAGAATATTTGCTAGAGGAGGTGACAAATGCACTGGTCCTGTTGTGGGGGACATGTGAAGGGAAGGAAGGGGATCAGGAGCTGCAGGGCTGGGGGCAATAGGACCCTAGGGTCAAATGACTATGAGATGGAGTCGATCCCAGGACTCTAGACAGAAACCTCTCTGATGCAGACTTTCCATGCTTTGCTGGGTACACTCTTGTTTAGTCATTCAACCAACATCATTAGTTGCTGACACTGTGCCAGGGACTAAGCCAGAAACAAGAGACGGAAGTATGTGGGAGCATACACTGCACCCAGCCCCCAGGCTGCTGAGCGCAGGTGCAGAGCTCAGGGGGACAGAGGTTGCTCCTCTCTGTGGGGGCTGCCCTCCGGCGAATCCTCTTGTCCAGGGTGACTCACTGGTCAGTGTGGTGAGGACAACCCTGGTGGATGCGATCTGGGAAGTGTCCCCAAAGGCTGCTTTTCAGTGGGCCAAAGACAGCCAATGGCCCACTAGGCAGCTAAGCTGCTCTGGGTCTGTTCCCTGTCTGTGAGCAGCATACAACTTCATGGCTCCAGTCCCAAATCCAGGCTTGACCCTTAACTGCTACCAGTGTGACCTTGGGCAAGTCACTCAACCTGTCTGAGCCTTGGCACACTCCTCTGTAAAATGTAGGGCTAATAAGACTCAGCCTAGCCTGCACTACTTAGGATCATTTTTATGCCAGCACCATATCTCACTGACATGACATCTAACAACCCCTGCGAATATGGAAGCAGCCCATGCCCATCTCTTGTGGCCTTGTGCTAAAGGAAAAGGGTGGTCACAGGGCAGAGACTGTGGGCTCTTCTTGAGTGCACTGGTCTCCCAGTTTTGCTTCCCCCTTGAGGTCACTGCCCCAGGCCAACAATGTCCCACCTCACTCAGGCAGGGTTGTGCACCTGGTCCACCCCAACAGCTCCCCTGGTGATGCCCAGGTGCAATTCCCAGCTGAGGATGTGCTTGTCCACAGCAGCACTCCATCTCTGCCAGGACCCTTTCTTGGACTCCTGTGCCCTCCCAGACAACAAACTCTCCGTGACAGGTGTCTTAAGAGACCTCACATCAGTGACAGCCATTCTGACAAGAATTTACTAACTTTCGAGTCAATCTCATGTCATCAGAGAGGACACTAAGACACAGCTTTCTGCAAGGGTAGGTGACCAGCCAGAGGATCTAAATCCTGTGGCCCATGCGTATAAGCACCATGCTAAACAGCTTCCCACAAAGCCACCTCTCCCCTCGCCGGACACCCCTCCCACCAGCAGGGGGCGCTGTCTCCCGAGCACTCAGGCTACCCCTCCGCAGTTTCAATGGAGGAGGGCATGTTTACCCAGGTGATTGGAGGGTACACACTGGCTGAAGGAACAGGTGTCCCTCTTATCTTAGAAGGAGGTTTTCCATTAGACCTGACTTTAAGGATGAGGGCACCAAGGCACTGAGGTCCTTGCCTGAAGTGTCCTGGCTGGTACACTGTGGTGCTGGAATTGCAACCAGCCCTGACCTGGCACACTGACCGAAAGGACTTCTCACTTTTCTACTCTACTGCTGTAACAGCTGCTGCTTAAGCGGGGCTTTCCCAGGACTCAGCATCTCCGTCCAGGCTTTCTTTTTCCCTGAGAAAACCCTGCCACCAAGCAGCACCCACTGTGTACCCAGAATGTCCCCTGTCTGGGAGGAGAGCAGCACTTAGTGAGAGGAGGCAGCAGCCAGGGAAGAAGAAAGATAGATACAACAGAGGTGCACAAATTTTTTGCCCTGGAGGTGTGCAACTCCAATGCCATAAACACACCTGATATTTGACACAAGTCAGCCTCGGAACCCTCCATCCCCACCCGGGTCCTCCTGCGTGACTCAGAATTCTAGGAGAAAGGTGGATATGAGGGGCAGGTCCCCTGAAATTCCGTGCACATGATCTGGATCTCGTGGGCTTGGGAACCCAGGCAAAGCTCATCACAAAGCAGAGAAGGATCCTTTTGTTTGAAAAGATCCCTCCTACCATGTGTTTGGGCAGCATCCTTAAGACAAAGCCAGGAGGAAAAAAATTTGAATCCAGGCTTGTCTGGAGCCCTCTTCTCTCCAGGCTTTGTGAGAGAAAAAAGATTTTTTAAATAAAATATATTTCGGGGAAGAGTTTCCATTAGTGGAATATTCTGATTACAAAGCCCCTTACCCCTTCAAGCTATTAAAGACTTGGAAACATTTTACCTTTCCTGTCCAGATAAAGTTAATGATCTCCTTCCCCATTTGAAAACACAAACTTTCAATTAATGCTCTCCTTCCCCACTTTAAAATACAAACTTAAGGGACTTGACAAAGATAGAATATTTGTTTTGCCTCTTACTTTTATCCTGCTAATTTTTAAGGCTGAGCAATTTTCAAAGGAAATTAAATCCCTATGTGCCCAACTCATTTTACACCAAACTCATCAAAACATGGCTTTCAAGGCCCCTTTGAAGTCCTGAAACTAGACATGTGGCCACGGCCCACGTGTCTGAGTGCACTGGAAACAGAAACTGGTGACAGTGGCTGGGTACTGCTTCCCGGGGTTGCCAGGGGGTGGTGAGTGACAGGCGGGCATCTATGCTGGGATGTGGGATGGGCTGGCTCTCCTCTCTAAGGATCTCTGCTCTACAGCTGCCAGCCACTGTCCACTTATCCCCACTGCAACTGAAAAGTGGCAGCCCTGTTAACTCTTGCTAGGAGCCGGGCAAAGTCAACCAGTGAGAGCCCAAAAGGACCTGGCACCAGGCCTACTGGGAGCAGTTCAAGTTTCAAAGTTTTCAAGGTGTTTTGCACCAACAGTCTCAGCAGCAGCCAAGCCCAGTGCAAATAAGAGCTGTCTTGTGGTTCCATACATTGACCAGCAAGGAGGGGTGCGGCTCTCTGCCTGGGACGTCTTGATGGTGACAGTCAGTGGCGGCTTTTCGGGAGGAAATGCATTCCAAGGTAACACCCAAGCCAGGCCCACACAGAGGCCACCAGGTGTTAACAACTCAGGCAAGACCTGAAACTGGATCATCATCCCCTGCAGCTGCAGGTCACAGACACTAGAGGGAGACTCAGGCAGGGAACTGGGCCTTTTAACTCCTTGGGGAATTCAGCCGCCTCAAACCCCCAGTCAGGCTTTCCCCAAGTGGAGAATCAGTTTTGTCATCAGTAAAGTGGTGTTACAGGAGGAGGTGCTGGGTACACCCTAAGCAATCAGAAGCTCTGCCAGTTAGAAAGGAGAAGCACTTGGCTGGGAGGGTCAGCAAATGCTAACCTTGGTGACAGCAAATGCTAACCTTGCCTAAGGCAGTGGGACAACGGCTTGATATATACCTGTTTGAGAACATTCCTGAAAGAAAATAAGGGCTTCCAGGTGCCATCAGGAGAAAAGCACATGTGCATGCTTGCGTGCCTCTCTCTCTCTCTCTCTCTCTGTCTCTCTCAAACCATACACCTTGGGGGTGGGAATGTGGATCAGTAGCAGGATGTTGCCTAGCAAGCTTTAGGGCTGAAGTTTAATCCTCAGCACTGAAAAAAAAAAGCCCCACAGCCTTCACCAGGTATCCTGAGGGGTCCTGCTGGCGTCACAGCCCACATGCTCTTACAGTCCCCTCACCTGTCAGGCGAGGCTTCATCTGGCCACACGACTTCTCAGCAGAAGACAGACCTCCCCCTGCAAAGGCAGGTCAGACTAACAGTCAAAGTGAGTTGCTTGTCAGGTCTTTTCAGCTAGAGGTAGGGAGAGCTGGTCAGAGGTTCAAGGCCTTTGCTCAGAACAGATACCATCCAAGAATGCCAGAACTTTACGGAGCAAACATTTTATTTAATAAG